GCTCAATTGAAGCATTTGATGCTTCCAAATTGTGTTCTCTGAGTCGTTGGTTGACGCATCTCCCAGTTTGTCCCAGTGTTGGGTAAAGTACACCTCAAAGATACTTCAAGTAAAGTACAAAGTAAATGAGACGTGACGTACTTCAAGTAAAGTAGTAAGTACACTGGGTGCAATGTACTTCAAGTAAAGTACTATAAATAGATGTACTTTCAAAGTAAAGTACAAGTATTTTAAAACAATCTTTCATCATGCCCTTTTATTCCCCTATACAGTGATGTTTTAACTGCTATGCATCGCCCAGGGGTAACCAGGGGTGCATGACCTATTTCCAAAAACAGCGACGAATATTTGATAAAGTCAAGTGGCCACAGAGTAGTTCCCTCAGGAATGGAGCCAAATTCAGAAGTCCCTCTTCTGAATTTGGTGTCGCTTGCACTGGATTGTTTCACCCAAGGGGGATGTACTGGGAGAGAGCATGACGTCAGCCCCGTAGCTTCCGCAAGTAATGCCCTCATAGAGGAGTGTCCTTTCTTTAATGAAAAAAGACAGTTACTGCGCAGGCGAGCTGGTGATAATTAATTATAATGTGACACCTGAGATGGGGTGCGAAAAAATTAAGGAACTCTCAACTCGAAAGAAAAGACAAAAGAGAATGTCTCAAAACATTGCGACATTCTCCTCTGTTGTTTTTTTCTTAGATTTCAAAGTTTATTTTTTCCGCACCACAGTCTCAGGTGCTAGGTTATGATTCATTTTGCTGTTATAATATTTTAAACCTCCTCACTTGCGCTGACCGACCGAAACGTAGCGAGAGTTCAAAAAGCTACGGGAAAGTCGCCCCCAGAACAAACGGAGCGATGCATCGTCTGCTCACGTTTCTGGTGAGAGTAGAATATCCCTCCCAGGATTTCTTTGGAGTTGACAAAGCTTCATTTCGTGATAAAAATTTAACAAAATCAAATTGGGGAATGTACTTTGAAGTCAGGAATTGTACTTTTCTCTGAAAGTACCACAAAAATACTTTAAGTATAGTACAAGTAAATACTCAGAGAATGTACTTCAAGTAAAGTACAAGTTTCCTAAACCTACCTGAAGTAGTACTTCAAGTACAATGTGCCTAAAGTACTTCCCAACACTGGTTTGTCCAATCGATTGACTGCCGCAGCTTAGTGAAATTGAATAATCTTTTCTTTCTTCGCACTCTACGAACTTTTTGGCATATATTACATTGCACCCTCTGTGACTGTCGCTCCTATTAACCTTTTTACACATCTGCTTAAGGCACCTATGACAGGAAAAAACAACACTCGTGTCAAACTTGGACGCGATAGATCTTAAACGGTGCGCAGAATTGTGCATGTAGGGAATCACAGCAAAACGACCTTTCTTTTTGGCAACAGCATGAGGAAGTTGTGGTTGAACCAGGGAGGTCCGCAGGAAAGCCTGCTTTTTCCAACCTCTGATGCTGCAACTTGAGGCTACCTTCGGAAAAATGCGTACACGATTTGGAGAATGAGGACTTGAAAAGCGACCTCACTACGCCATGCTTAACTGACTTGGAGTGAGCACTGGTGAAAGAGAGGACTGACTTCTCCGGTCTCTGCTGGAAAACCAAAGACCTAAGGAATAAGGATGTAACCGTAAACCCAGGAATTGTAATGTTTCCTTTGAAGGATTTTTTTGCGTAAAAATTAGTCTCGCTGCACAGTCTTTGAAAACTTCAAAGATGCGGTCAGCGCACACAACGTTTGGATAAGTGACCAAGTAGTCGTCGACATACCTAAACATTAGGCAACCCTGAAAGGACTTGTCCAACTGATCGTTGTGTCAAAAAAGAAGAAATATTTCACTAAGGACAGGTGCAAGTCACGAGCCATTGCATACTTTGGTCTGTAAATATTTATTCCGTATTCTACTAAAGTGGGCTACAAATATATATTTGTCAGGTTGATGAAGCCCTCAACTGAAAGGCGTATTCTACTAAGGTGGACTACAAATAGATATTTGTCAGGTTGAGGCTTCGTCAACTGTCAGGTTGATGAAGCCTCCACTGTTTAGGTATGTCGACAATTACTTGGTCATTTATCGAGACGTTTTGTCCGCTGACACCGTCTTTGAAGTGTTCAAAGACTGTGCTGCAAGATTAACATTTACACGGGAAAATCCTTCAAAGAAAGGATTATAATTCCTGGATTTATGGTTACACCCTCATTCCTCAGGTCCTTGTTGGGCCTTGCAGCAGTGATTGGAGAAGCCAGTCCTCCCTTTCACCAGTGCTCACACCAAGTCAGTTAAGCATGGCATAGCGAGGTCACTTTTCAAGTCCTCATTCTATGAGTCGTGTACAAATTTCTCCGAAAGTAGCCTCAAGTTGCAGCATCAGAGGTTGGAAAAAGCAGGATTTCTTGTGGACCTCCTTGGTTCAACCCTTGAAAAATTCATCCTAAGACTACAACTTCCTCAAGCTGTTGCCAAAAAAAAAAAAAAGTCGCTTCTTTGTGATTCCCTACATGCACAATTCTGCGCACCGTTTAAGATCTGTCGCGTCCACGTTCGACACGGGTGTTGTTTTTTTCTTGTCGTATGCGCCTCAAACAGATGTGTAAAATGCTAATGGGAGCGACAGGCCCAGAGGGTGCAATGTAAAACATACCAAAAAAGTTCGTAGAGTGTGAAGAAAGAAAGGTTTGTTCAATTCCACTAAGCTGCAGCAGTCAATACACTGGACAAACTGGAAGGTGCGTCATCCATCGACCTAGGAAACACAACTTTCAAGCATCAAAAGCTTCAAACGAGTCTTTTTACCCAATCGTCGTTCACAGCCGCACATGCGATTACTGTACTTCTTATTTCTCTGATACTATATTACTGGGCGCGCACAACAAGAGATTTGGGAGAGAAATCATTGAATCATTTGCCATGGGGTCTGTTAACATTTCTTTACCTTCATTATCACTGACAAAGTCAGAGGTCGAATTCCTAACACCAGAAATGACTAGATTACTCACACCTTGTCGTGACGCTAGTGCTTTTTAAACTTTTATATTTATAGTACAGTTCCCTTTGGGACTCTCAACAACAATATTTCTGCACCTTCATTATCACTGACAAGAGACAAAGGTCGAATTCTCTGCACCAGATATAACTAGATTATTGATACCTCGTCGTTTCGCCAGCGCTTTTTCGAGAACGTTGAAACCATTGGGGACGGTTTTATAGTTTGTGTCATTCTATGTTGTTGCTCAATGAAAGAAGTCCTGTTTCCGTCCTCGTCCTCGATGTTTTATCCTTTCAAGTATTCGTAGCACGTGATAGACCTGTGAGCCAGTCAGAAGTTGACGGCGGCGGCGGTGGCGGCGGTGTGGAGAAACGCGTTCAAGTTCGACCGGCAGCGCGCCACGCCCAGCGTGCCGTGGTGGCGTGACTTTGTAGCGGCGGTGGCGCAGCGCGGTGACGCACAGGTCTACCACGTGACCAGTGGCGGCTTCCGCGGGCGCCAACTACAAATTCGTTGCGCGCCGTAAATATAGCTCTAATTTTTTTTTGTTCGTTGTAAATTCATTTTTTGCCATCCTTTTCCCGTCTAGGCGTTTTTTTTTTTTTTTTATTCCCCCTTTGCATGTGTTCTTCAAAAAGAAGGAGCTACTCCGGCGTTAGTCATTATTAACGCCGAAGAAGGAATCAGGCAGCGCATGAACACAATAAGCTCTGTTATTCCTGCTTTGTCAGTGAGAACGGCAGTGCTTATTTTGTTCCTGCTTCTCGCTGCCTAATTCGTTCTTCGACGTTCAAAACGTAACGCCGCAAGTCTCGTTGGTTGTGGAGTGGTTCCGGCAGCGTGCGAAACGACAGTGGCGCCGCGGTGCGGCTGCCAACAGTCATTTGGCGCGCACATCACTTGGATCGACACGCCCCCTTCATGTGTCGGACACTCCCTATTTAGCTAAGTGTTTGTTCCGTGTGTCAGATTTGTTTCAAACAAACGCAGCTCAAAATATTTGGCGGTCACTACATTTTCCAGCCATCACTTTTGCTCATTTGAGGAGCAGATAGAATAATCAAAACATTTAATGTAAAATATAACACATGTAAGGCTCTTATTAACCGAGAAGTGTATTAAGCACACGTAAAATGTTAGACGCTATTTCTAGATCCTTTTATTCAATGTGAGGTTTCACTCCCGAGTCACCTGCCTTGTTCACATTTTCTTCGCGTTCATTTCGAGCGTATAGAACGCAGTTGCCAAATTCAATCCAGAAAATCAAGGCTTTGTTTTTTTATGGTACTTCAAACGTGTTTTCCAGATTATAGTCTACAGACTACATGTCTAAAAGTCGAAATTTTACCCGATACAGACTATCTACAGGTGCGAACTATACGAGGAATTGTTTTTTTCTAGAACATTTACTGCGACAAGAGGTTAAAGATATTATTAATAGTAGAGCATATTAATGGGGATTTGTGTATGATACCAGCTTCTTTGCTACCTGATACGGCAGGCATTGGTCAAGGTGTGCTGTGTGTGATAATTTTTATGCTGGGACTAGGCACTAAGTGCTGACTTTTCAGTGCGTGCGGGATATAGTTCGCAAAATGCGGTAATCTATGGTCAACGACGAGATGTAATCGTGAAAATAAATTTTGATTTTTATGCAACTGACATTCTCCCTCTCAGTTTGCCTTTCAAACATTGATACTTGGCAATTTTTGCTGGAGATGTTTATGTCATGTGTTCTTTAAACGAAGTCTTGGAATTTTGTAGACAACGTACGTAATGATTCAGAATTGAAATCGACGGGTTACTTCCTTAAGAACATTTAAATTTGATTACTATTAGAGATTACGGCTTTGTTGCTGGTCAAATATGAACCCGTCTGGCGCATTTTTATTTGAATGTGTTCCTCTGTCTACCCTTATGCAAGTGTTTTCCTAAATTGAGAATTCGTTATAGCCTCTTATTTTCTATGCCACTGAGCAAACACTGTTCCTTTTCATTTCAGCCACTCTTGAGATTCGAGTAGCTCACTCCGTGGAATATCAATCCCATGGGCTTTACCGGTTCTACATAGGGCATGTACCTACCGTGGTCGTATACCGAGCTGACCTTATTGAGGTAACGTTCATGGCACACTCGTGAAACGTTTTTCACCCTACGTTCCACCTGCAACTCGTTACCTTTGTTGTGAACGCCAACAGTTTCACACCGACATGTGCAGCGGTTGCATTACGAATCAGGAGCACCAAGTGGAAAAGCCATAACGGCATACACGATGTTCAACATTGCAGCTGCGCCTTCTTATTGCTGGACATGTCAATTGCAATCCACCGGGGTAATAAATCACCCTTGTGTACATGAAAACAAGGAAAAACCGACAAAGATTTTTCCGCTCACTTTATCGCACATTGTGATTCGGAAATGGAGAGCGGGAGTAATGACATTTCTATTCTCACGTCAACCGAAAATGATGCACTAATTTTAAAAGAGAGTAATCACAAAAGTACAGGTTATTGTTACTCAACATTAACGTGTTTCTTTTAATATTCCGTCGTGAAACTTACCTAGGGATTATCGTGCAGCAAAGATGGTATGCCTAAGAAGCACTCACATGTCTTATAAGAGGAATTCAGTCCTGTAGGAGCTTACCGAATCTTGATTTATCCCTGATGTCTACGCTCGTTGAAAGGGCATTGGTATATATAGTCTTCACTCCTAATGAAATCAAAAAACTAATCACATGCGGATAATTAAACATGGGCTTGTGCTTATAACTTTAACGTGGATGTGACAGATTTAGCAGTGTTTATCAGAACTTTTGTCCTTTTCAGATCGTTCTCACAAACACGCTTTCCAAGTCCATTGATTACTCACTTTTGCACTCCTGGCTTGGCACAGGGCTTCTGACAAGGTACGTGTGGTGACAGACAGTACGGTACCTAGAACGGTATGATGTAACATTTTTTTGAACTAAGTAATTTGTTAACTGGTAAAGTGTGTTATAATTGATTGTTCATAATCTCTAAGAATCATTTTCATTTTGTGAAATTTCAGACATTCAGACAAACGCAATCGAGACACTTAGAAAATAAATATTTGAAGCTTTAATCATAAATTAGTCACCATTTTTCCAACGCAGTTGAATTCCTGGTCATTTTGGGTCTTACGTAATCACGACAAAAATTATCGTTAAATTGGTATTAATTATAATATTACACCACACTTTTGCCTTTCTTCTGAAGTAAATTTTTTATCTTATAGTCCGATTTATGTTTGGTCTTGTTTCCTAATGTGCACATGAATGACATAAAAAATAGTTTTCTTTTCAAGGACGAATCTATATTTAAAACTTTAATTGTAAGATTTATAGTTTCTCTGGTATGCAGCTCTGGATCAAAATGGAAGACGAGGCGACGAATGCTGACCCCCGCTTTCCACTTCCGAATTCTGGACGACTTTGTTTTGCCCATAAACGAGCACACAAAGCACTTGGTAACCAGGATCCGTCAACTTTCTGAGCAGGACGACTGGGTTGATGTCGTGCCGCTGGCAGCATCGACCACGCTGGACGTTTTACTTGGTGAATAAGTCTGCATGTTTCGATGACATGGTGCACATAACTAACCCAAGCGATACTTGATTCTTTTATTACAGAAACAATAATGGGAATCACTGCAAGTCAACAACAACCGGAGTGCCAATCTTACGTCAAAGCTGCCAATTTGTGAGTGTATTGCTTTTACTTGGTTATAAAATTTGTATTCAACTCTGCAGTAAAACATTTTCATTCGGGCAACTGCAATAATTATATGTATAAACCACCTCTGCTTGGTTTACCCTGTTATTTTGCTTACTCATATATAACCACTAACTTTAAGCAATACTTTATTTCAGCTTAGCAGACCAAATGGTGTTCAGGGCGCAAACACCCTGGCTACTTCTAGACTTCATTTATTACCGAACAGAATACGGACATCGGTATAAGGCGGCTACAAATCTTGTGCATACTTTTAGCACCCAGGTAAAGAAGTATCGTTGTTTGCAGAAGAGAATTTACATAAATATTATTTTATTGAGGCTTTAAGAAAAGATCTTCGTCTTTTTTAAAACTTTTTGATCTGGCGCAGGTGATACAGAAACGCAGAAAGGAACTGATCAAGGAGAGGAGTACGGCGCAGGCACCCCTCGCAGATGTTGCTAAACCTCAAAGGAAAAGGCTCCGTACGTTCCTGGACATTTTACTCTGCTACAGTCTGGACAGTGACAGTTCATTTACTGACGAAGATATCAGAGAAGAGGTCGACACGTTTATGTTTGAGGTAAACTCCAGAACTTTGTGACTGAATAACTAACTGAGTAAAAGCGTTAACTACCAAACTACTTTCAAAGGGTCATGACACCACGGCACTGGCCATTGCCTGGGCGCTCTACATGATCGCTTTGCATCCACAAGTTCAGCAGAAAATACAGCAGGAATTGGATGCTGTACTTGGAAATGACATCGAAAAAAATATATCAATGAATGACATGAAGGAATTCAAATACATGGACTGCGTAACAAAGGTAAATATAATGTTGCCCTTAATACCACACAATAATTAGCCTCAAAATCTGTACACACACGTGTACAGAAACAAGATAGCATTTTATATTCAGCGGTTTGTACTTCATCATAGAACTATGCCGAATAAAACACTGCACTTTTTTATTTATTTTTTTAATTCTACCTTGTTGAAATTTATGATAACTTTAAATGACGAATCGTCATCTTAAAAAGAATGTCAAGAGACTGTTTAATAATAGAAATAAGCATTCTAAATTTTGAGTACCAGTCGCTGATTTGTGTTGTATTTTTGTGAAGAATGTGCTTCCACTGCCAGGTCGCGCCACACAGGCCCTAACCGGCTTCGGTAGACCTGACATTTTGTACAGTTGATTTTGATCAATAAAGACTATTACTATTATTTTTTTATAAAGAAGGCAATAACAGGAGAACTTTACTTTACAACCTGCGCATAATATTCACTATTTTAGAATACGCACTTTATAGTATGTACGTTTTAGGGATTGTTTTAAAATTAAGCAGTACAATGTATGAACGCAACAACGTACTATTTTTGCTTCCAGGAATGCCAACGTCTTTACCCCTCAGTTCCCTTCATTGGGAGAGCCGTCACGAAGGAACTCAGATTAGGTAACGTTCTTTTTATCTTCTAATAGACGACCTAAAATCATATCTACATAAATTCTCAGTAATGTTTTTATACACTGCGCCAGGCCGCCACATTTTAATATAAATTTTCGGGTACCTGCTTCCCAAATATGAGCTTCAACTTTCAAATGACAAGTCGAGCACTAATATGAATCATATGGGTGAGAAAACTGACAAATCATTTAGAGTAAAGGATAGAATAAAGAATATTTTGTTATAGATAACACATGTATAGGACGTACCTTTTAATAATTATTCCCGTCGGTAAAGACAATCAAATAAATTGGCACTTTAGGGGAAGAAAGTACAGCATACTTGCTTAATTAAAACACCATTTTTTGTAATTTTTCAGGAGACCACCTGTTACCTGAAGGTACTACAGTAGATATATTTATCTACGCCCTACACCGAGATCCAAAGATTTTCCCAGATCCCGAGGTCTTCGATCCAGAGCGTTTTTCGTCAGAAAACAGTGCCTCACGGCACCCTTTTGCGTTCATTCCTTTCTCAGCTGGCTCGAGAAACTGCATAGGTGAGGAACGCATGCATAAATTTGTTCATGACCGACTTAAACCGACCCTTTTCAGCTCTAATGTATTGTTGATGTCAAATGCATACTTCTTTGTTGTTTGTTCACTTCTGTGGATCCGTGGATGAAGACCGGCATATGTAATTCAGTAAGAGTCTGATATCCAGGTCAAGGTGTTCGGAAACTTAGCAAGACATGATTCAACGACGGCACCCGGTGACTGGAAATTTGAATAGATTTTCATTTACATTTTATTTTTAATAATCAAAAGTTTACACAGGTTTTAAAGAGTCTTTACGCTATCCATATTGAAGGAATATAGATAGAAGGAAGAGTTCATTCGGCAAGTCAACAAGTGGTCTAAGATTACGCTTCACCTCGACATGTGCAGTGTTCCGATTTTCGCGTTGCATGTAGACACAAGGCTAATAAAATACATCAATACAAAAAGTGACCAGTTAATACATCTTCAAGAAACTGAGACCACCAAAAAGACAGACATGCCAAAAAGAAGTAACCACTGTAAATGTACCATATTGTCGTGTCTTGTTCACTTGACTTTTTTTTCTCGACGCGTTCAGTTCCTTTGTCCGTAAAAAAATACCTACTGTGGTTGAGGTATTTTTGTTGTAATTTTTTTTTTTTTTTACTTTTTGTTTCTATAATATCTTGGAGTTTTGATTGTAGTTCCAAATTGTGTTGAAGAACGTAAAATATGTGAAAACGGTTATCTCTTGGAAGGGCAACGTTAGTTATCTTGGACATTTATAATTAACTTTGCTTTCAATTCGACGTGCATTGTTAGTTTCCCATTTGGGAGTACCACGTAAAAACACAGTTGGTCCGTGGGTCCGTAGAGCGACGTTTTTATTGACATCAAGTTCCAAATCACAGTACCCTCAACAAAGTCCAAAATATCGGCGCTGTCTCAATGTGACAGGATTATCGGTCAGAGTCTGCGCTGTCGCAGTAGGCAGAATCACCGGAAGAGCCTCAAAATAGAGCTCCGTGGAGTAAGGCCCTCCCCCGACGAGAGCCCCCAGCCGCTCTTTAGGGCCGGCTTATATTGCCTACGGAATGGACGCGCCCTGGTTGTCGGTAGTAAATTCACTCCCCGGAGGGGCGGATGTACACGTTCAAGGTCCCGAAGGGTGTGCCTGAGGCAAAACACCCTAGAGGGCAAAGGAGAGCCGTCGACCAGGGAATGCGGCCTCGCCTCGCTTCAGGGATGCGCCCCGACATAGCGACGCCCCAGGGACTACCGGAGCTAGGCCTAGATAGGGAGGCGGGGAACACGTGGTTCCCACAGCATGAATGTGCCCAAACTCTTTAGAGGTAATCTGTATCTGTCGTGTGCAGTGTTAGAAATTCAAAGTTTACTCAGATATTTAAAAAGAAAAATTGTGCTTTTTCAGGACAAAAATTTGCCAACATGGAGGTCAAGATATGCCTGGGTAACATCCTGAGAAACTTCAATCTACGACCCCTTGAGCATCGCGACAAACTTCAACTGTCCAGCGAGCTCATCCTGAGGGCAATAGATGGACTCAAGATCAAATTTACACCTCGCTCACTTTAAAGCATCATGTTCAATTTTCGTAACATTGTAAATTGCTCATACAAACAAAACTGTATAGGTACCAAGACACGTGCTAAACAAAATAGATTGTTAAAAAATCTAAATAAGTCATGGTAGCTTTCATTTAAGCTTTAGTTTTTATTAAAGATGCGTTTGTAATATATATTTGCTCATGTGCATTTTCTGACTTTGGTATTTGAAAGCAGTTTCTGGTTATTTTTTTTCATCCATGACACAACTCTTCTTATATAACACATTCTATGTTAAATTTTACGGCAGCTGGTGAGTTACTTCACTATAAACAGCGCATCATTATCAGAACCTTCTTTCCTACACGGAGGTACGCGATACTCCAGGTCGTAAAAACAAGCGATCAAGCGACCGTTGTGTAGGACCATGGCCTCCCCTATACTCGTAACGCCTGGCAGTTCGACGACGGAGCCATAGAGTGCCCGGTCTCAGATCTGGAGCGTGAGGATCTGGTAGCACATACCATCAAAGAGCCATTTCTCGGGGAACCTGGACGTCAGCGCACAGTTTTTGCAGCGGCGAGGACTCGAAACACACTTGTTCGCTCGGGAGAAGTGTGTTTCGGCGTCTCGCCACAGCGGGGCGCCAGTCACGTGGCTCTCCTCTCATCCGTTGTCTGCCGCTCCACCTTTTCCATTTCAGCAACCGCCTCTCGTGGCGATCTGCCAGGCTTTGTCAGTATAGGAGGCTATGGTAGGACAAAACATTTCAATCAATTGTAGGTGTATGTTTGTGCGAGTTTTCTGTCGAAATTTGGCATGACCCACGTTAAGCGTGTTAACTTGAATAGTTTCATTCAACATGACATGACGTGACAACCAACATGACATGAAACACCAAATAACTTGCAAAATAACATACAAAAACTATTCGCTTCAACATCTTCCAGTTCAGAGGCCAGCTGGTTTGGAAGTGGAGACTGTCATATTTTCGAGTTATTTTTCTTTCCTAAATTAACGCGACTAGCTTCGCCTTTGCAGCAACTTAACTTTAATAAAATTATTCAGCCTATATTGTGATATAAACATTATAGATTATCTCAAGCTGGTTCTGCTTTGCGCAGATTTATTAGCAACATTATTCGCTCTTGAAAGCATAAAAATCTAAAATAATGCTTGTTTCGTGCTTCGTTTCAGCTCGAGAAAAAGTTTGAATTTAATATATATCGTGTCTGCTTGCGATTGCGAGACTACCAAAGGACGCTGAGTGCAGAGCAAGGTGGAATGGGTCGGGCCCATGCTTACGAATAATAAATATCTGCCACGAGCTCACCTTGCTAGTGAGTACTTGCTCATGTATACTATGTCTCAATACGTATAGGACAAAACGTCGTTTTGTTTTATATTGGGACATAGCGTGGTTGTTTGGTTATCAACAATCCCTCACTCAAACCGAAAAGTTGGCTCGCAGGTCTGCCAGTGTGAGGACCAAGTCATACACTGCCCTCAAACCCCGAAACCTTCTTGGGTAACAATACAGATACCAAAAGCAATTGATGAAAAGGATGAATAAATGTAATGTTATTCTGATTCATAGAATAACAGCTCAAAGTGTTCGTAAACAGAAAAAAAGAACAGCATATATTCTCGAGTAGACTGTCTAAACTATTATACATTGCAATGTAGTACACGTGGAAAAGCACTCCAGTTTTTTGACAATTCCGATCCTGATAAAAGCAAATATTATTATTTTTTTTAATGGAAAGACAGTTCCCCGCACGTTTTAATAAAACTAGGCAACAATCGGTTTCTCAACCAATCTTGTGACCACCTGTACTTCAATCTCTTGGACAACCTCGCAATCGTTTGCGAAAGTGACATATTCCCTATTTCATCCGACCAGTATTAACGTTAGAAAAAAATGACAAAGTTGCGTTGAGACAAGAATTATCCCTCAAAATGCGTTAATGCTGAAGTAAACAAGGCCCGTTCAACACCGAAGAAAGCAGGAAGAATGGGCTTATTACATTACCATAAATACTATTCACGGCCACCGAACGCCCTTCCTCGAAACGGAACTCTGCGCAGATTCGGTACGCGTCGTAACTATACAAAAAAAAAAAAAAAAAAAAAAAAAGAAAGACAGAAGAAGAAGAAAGAGGGCGACCGGATTGATGAGATAAAAACCGGTACATGGCGTAGCGGAGTGGCGTTTTCCTTATCCGCCGACAGCTAACAAGAGAGTACACGCAGCTGCAGTTCAGAGTATATTTTGGACATACAAAATTTGACCGAACTTCTTACATTCCGGAACATTGACGCTGGAAAACGTACTTGCCCTGTCCGAAGAACACGCGATGCAAGAATGGCTCCAGCTACTTTTCGTCGTCGTGGGGTTGTGTCTTTTCGGTGGAGTGGTTTTGGTGGTTGGCCTCCTAGGAGCTTTACACGCCGCGCGGCTGGCAACTTGGAAGCACTTGAAGAAGGTTCCCGGACCCAACGAAGACATCCCACTGCGTTGGGTCGTAATGGAACATCTTAGAGCGGAACAACGGAAACCAATGGTGCCTTACAACGCTTGTAAGTATACATTTTTGGGTAGCTTTGGAATTAGCATCACCTAAGTGCCTGCGTTGTAACTTTAGTCACTGACGGCTTAAGGAACGCAATGCGTGGCAACTGCCGACCATCTTCCTTACACCCCCGCATCCAGTGATATTGCGGAATTGGCCGATAAGGACGCTGAAGGATTAATCATGAAGCAAGAAGCGTGAACATTAAGAAGCCGCACCCTTTTGTTCTAATCGTTCAGTGACTACAACTGCTACGACCAGTGCACGACCAATGTCTGCACTGTTTCATGGGCGCGGCCATGTTTGTTTACGCGACGTAATGACACAGAAGCGGGGCTGCGCTTTTTGCAAGACACCATTTTCTTAGAAATCCTCGCACATATTGTAGTGCAAGAACGTCGTCAGAAAAGCATAGTCACGAAGCTCCAAGAACAACATCGATGCAAAGGGTGCTGTAAAAAGCACAAATATTGTTTCATACGCAGCCCCTCTCTTCACAAGAGCCTACGTTTGGGATTATTTCCTATTTTTATCGTTGGGGCCTAGGATTTCCGACTCTTTTATGCTACATTGTCACGGTTAGCCTAGGGTGCCTCAATGTCCTTCTGTTTAGGGTGATGCCACCCTTTGTAGTACCACATGCCGACAGCACGCGCTCACGGGAAAAATACAAAGAAATCGACGAAAACAAAATGTCGCCATAGCACAGTCAGCGCCACAAGCGTGTGCAGGGATACGCTCTTTCACGCGCTTCTGAACAAAAAATAAAAATAAACGTGTGTGACAAAATGGCGAGATGCCACCACCCTAAGCAGAGCGCACATGAAGGCACCCTAGGTTAGCCTATAACATCCGCAGTGCTCCAACTCCAAAGGCTTGATAAATGGGCTAGTTGGTATTTGAATGAACATCTAAACGGCGCACACATAGAGAGAAGAGAGGAGATACAGGAAAGAAGCGCTACTCACAACTCTATTTACTGAGGTGTTCTTTTACGATGTTCTTCCTTCTCTACATCTCTGTAAATATGGTTGCGAGTAGCGCCCTCTTTCCTCTATCTCCTCTCTTCGCTCTACGTGTGCTCTAATACCATTTAGATGCTCCAACTCCGTCAAAGCACTCGACGACGAAGGGCGTGGTATCTGTTTCGACACCGCTCTCGGCGATAAAAGCCTCCGCCTTACGCAAGCGTACACGCCCGCCGATAACAAACGTATGAACAATTTCTTTTTAGACCTACCTAGGCGTCAACTATCTTGTGCTACGTCATCAATGCCTAGCGTAGCTTCTGCATAACTCTGTTAAAGATAGTTGCGGAAGATAGAGTCAACTACTTCCACAGCAGTGCAAGGCTGCGGCGCTGTGGACGTCCCGCTGGCCTTGGAAATGTAGCACGAAATAGTTGACATAGACGTTTGGTCGTCCCGATTGAGGATATTGATGAGTTGAGCAGTTGAGGCCATGGCGCACCAAATGGTATACGGGCCGTTCGTCGAAAGACAATATGTGATAGGGCAACTCGTAGCAGGGCTAATCGTCACATAGGGCAATTCGTCATAGGGCGATTCGTCACTGAGACAACTCGTCGAAAAACCGGAGATAATGTTTGAAGATCTTGTTGTCCGCTTACTAGTTTTATATTAGCGTGCGGTCGCTTTTGTTATTCAGCTTCTTTGTAGTGTCTGTCCTCTTTAGAAAGTTTAGTCTTTTGTTTCTTTTAGATGGGGAATTGCAGCATTGGGGACGTTAGGAAGAATCTCAAGAATTTGTCGTCAACTTTCAACTCCCTGTTGCTTGCTATTTTTATTTAAGTCTCTAGTTCGATCTCGACTGGAGTTTGCCTCAGTCATTTGGAATTATTGAATCTGCCGCTAGAATTAGCTATTGAAAATGTGCAAAAACGAATGGAATGGTATTTATTTCTATAACGCTCTTGCGCTATTTTTTTTTTTTTTCTCTCTGTATGCTCTACAGCAGTACTTCAAACTCGATACGCCCTCTGTAAGCTGTTCCAAGCTCATGGGATCTGTAGATTTTATTTAGGAACTCTAGCATCAGTTCTGATATTCAAAGCGGACCACATTGAGGTGAGTAAATACATGTATCCCTTTGCAATAAATTCTATGCACTTAGTTTTAATTTCCTGGTTGCTCTTGTTCCTAGCGTGCGCGTTTGTATGCCACTAACTGTAACGAAAAAAAAATGTATTAATTTTTTCAACCGTTGAAATTTTCAGACAGTTATGTCCAACACCCTGACTAAGGCACCACAATATGCACTCTTGCACTCCTGGCTTGGCACTGGACTATTGACAAGGTATGCTCATAAGACCAGCCATTTGTTAAGCGTTTTAATGTAGTCGCGACTTTCAAACCAGAGGTTAGGCTTATGATCGCAGGTCTGGCTAAAAATTTGAATTCTAAGGAACCTGCCGCGATTCACAGGAATATTTCAAGCGTAGTCACTGGCGTGTTCGACCCTATTCTTGTTTTGCTTCGCTATGCTTATCATATGGAAAAGTACTTCAGTAAACAATATAAAGAAGCTCGCGGGATTAGTTTATATCGGCGACCTCAAATATTTGAACGTACATGTGAAGCTTGGCACGGTGGTCATATTCATCGCGCGGTCGCAGAGACCGACTTCTAAATATTTTCTTATATAAACCGAATTGTTTAATCCTGAACTTAGTTCAAAAGGCAACTCTGCTCACTTTCGGGATTTTGGGGGATCTCACATCAAAAAGGCGCTAATAAAAGGCACTACATCATTTGCCTGGCGAAAACTTTGAGATATTTTGTGAAATCTTACTTTAAGCATGTTAAACCGAAACCGAAACTTCGCCTCCGTCGGTCAACATTGGCCTTGGGCCGCCAAACACACGACTACCTTGGTACGAGCGGTCATGTGATTCTCTACGCGACGACGGGGGGGATATGGGCGGGCCACCATCGGGGCGGGCGTGTGCAAGGCGCAAATGTCGTCTGCAACGCAGCCTTCCCCACGTTTTGGTGTCTATACGATATCCGACGACGTCTGCACAACTGCGGCATCAGTCTGCGCTCGTAGTGTGAACGAAACTCCAAGATACAATAATCACAGGCGGTGAGGCAACGAGACGACGAGTACGGCCGTTCGCTCGGGAAGGCTCGTAAGGCTGGGCGTGTTATTCATTGGGATGATTAGACAGTTTGATGAATTCTGCCTTTCTTAATTAATCTGGTTGTGGGATACGATGTTGTTAATTCCGTTACGCCTCTCTTTAACTTTCTTTTTAAATGGCTTGATATATTTTAAATGCTTGCCTTCGACCAATTCTATTTAACAAAGAGCGGCAAAAAAGACATGCCGCACAAATTCAAGATAACCATTTCATTGGAATTCACGACATGTTATACTCTTTGTAATCAACACCAAGCTATGGGTAAATTTGATTTGGTCTCGGGTCTGTCTATTTTGGAAGACTGCCATGATTGAAAACGTCCGTGACGTCGTCGGTCCGACGTTGTCCGCAGCGAACGCAGCGTACGCTCAACGACGGAGTTGCGCGTTCATCCCCGTAGCGCCGTCTTTCCTGCACGACATGTTGATTCAGCTCCTCACGTGACTGAATTCGGCGAATAGCGGCGCCGCGCGTTCGAGGCGCGCGGCGCGCTCAAAAGCATGGGGAACGTACTCCGGGGCCGGGTGCAACGTCTACATTCATACACAGCATTTGATCTGGCTCCTCACGTGATCGCATCTCGGCGAATAGCGGCGAGGCGGCATTCGGAAAACAGACGTGCAACTATGGCTCTCGTAGGGAGCCTATACATAGGGTTGTTCGTTTTCGGGTTTTATATTTTTTCTAAATTCGGGGGCTAAAAATCGGGTGCTATTTTTCAGGCTGATAATCGGGGAGAAATCGGGATTTTTGAGGAAACATTCCGAAATTCGGGTTTTTTCGGGTTAAATATACAAATGTACTCAATAATACACTCTTTTCTTTTCTTTTTTTTTTTTTTGTTATTGGAGGGTATTAAGAGCTGTTTAAGGCTAACGCGTTAAAGTTAGGGACGTGTTTCAAGCTGGTAATCGGGGGGAACTTCAGGGTTTTCCAGCTTCGATTGCCGTCGGTCGCTTCAAGGGAAGCCGCCCACGGAATCCTCCTCTTTCTCAGGTGTCAACAAGAATCCCGACCGTTCGAGGGACGGTTGTCTTCGACCAGATATTTTGCTATGAAATAAACTTGTCAAGTTTTCCCGATCTGTTTAAGTGACTGACTGGCTCGGACGTTATTCGTGAGAAAGGTTGGACACCAGCGAGATGGCCATGTATACCCGAGAGACTCCGTGGGGCGTCGACACCTCACCGGTCGAAGGGGGATGGATTGCTAGTGCATTTCACAAGCTAAGTGCAGCAGGGCCGAAGCTACGTGGCGTGCCGAGGCGGTTCCACCTGCACAGCGGGGGGCGGAAATGTCCCTCCGAGGCCCAACGCCTATTGTTGCTTTTCCTCAGCCGGCCTCTGTAGAATGTCACGGTGAGTTAGGCGCGCTCGTTGGGCGGTTGGTTGAGAGACGTGTAGCGTCCACAGTGCTGCACGCAGCTTGCGAAATGAACTATACGTCACTGTTGTCCCGAGGTAGGGTAGCTAGCGTGTGTGCACCGCAAACTCGTGCGGCGTAAAAATAAATAGGTTGGTTATGGGGTTTTGGAATTCGGGGGGATTCTCCTGAAACATGTTCGGGGTGTAAAAATCGGGTAAAATCGGGTTTTACCCGAAAGCGAACAACCCTACCTATACAGAACTCTAGAATAAAAGAGCTTTTGGTGTCCCCAGCGGCACAGTGGCTCAGGGAGCAGCTCCTTCCTTTTTTGTTTGCTCTTGGGCATGTGAAGAAGCGTTCCCAAACTCGAGCTCTTGGCCTTGACCGTGTCACGACAGGTTTCCAGCTATTCCTATTTTTCGTCGTCTGACATCCCGTGAGCAATGAATTTTTAGTACGCAGCTCTAACTTACGAGCCCGTTCTCGTGTTTCGCGGCGTCGGCGTAACCTAACCGCGCTAAATTTAGCAGGAACATTGACGTCACGTGACCTTAAGACCAATTCAATTAGCCGCTGAAATCAATACCCCGCTAAATTTAGCGGGGAATAGAATTTGTGTTGAGGTCACGCGACGTCAATTTTCCCGCTAAATCTAGCAAAACTCAAACTTTAAGCTTTTTTCCTCTTTTTTTTTTTTTTTGAGCGACCGCAGGTATTGATTATGGCATCCCATGTAGGTATAGTCCGTGACAGGTCAAGAACGAAGTGGAAGCTCCTCCCACCTCTTTCCACTTTAGCAGAGCGAACTATGGAGGGGAGACGACCTTCCCTCCAGCATTTGCTCTGCTAGAAGGAAAGAGGTGGGAGGTGACTCGCTTCGTTCTTGATCCAACAGTTCAAACCTCAACTTTAAGTGCATACAGAATGCTAATTTACTTGAGTATACGGAACGCCGTCTTATTATTATTTTTCAGCACCGGACCAAAGTGGAAAAAGAGGCGACGCATGCTCACTCCTGCGTTCCACTTTCGAATCCTCGACGATTTCGTTCATACCATCAATGAGCATTCCAGAAAAATGGTGGCCAAGATCTCAAAGCTTCGCGAAGAATCTGAGTGGCTCGATGTGGTGCCTCTGTCAACGTCGTGTACGCTTGGCGTATTGCTGGGTATGTGTGTGTGTTTTTTTTTTTTTTTTTTTTAACATAACACGGCTTGCTGGAGGTGTTTTGTATGTTTCTTACAGAAACAGTTATGGGGGTGAGCGGGAGTCAAGAGAAAGAGTGCTGCGAGGACTACGTAAAGGCTATCAATGTGTGAGCTGCTTTAATGTTTTTTTTTTCTATTTTGCTTTAAATTTCTATTTGTGTAGCCTAAACGGAGAGTGCAGACACATGTTAGTACGTAAATAATGCACAAATTCTCGGCGCAAGCCTCGCTTTTTTTTTTTTTTTTTTTTCTCTCTTCCTGGGAGAACAAATTTCGAGGTTGTTCATATTGTGTGTATATGTGGTTCTTTGTGTCGAGTGCATAATCGGAGGGTGAACTACTCTTTGTTTTTTCAAGAAAAAGACCGTAACTTGATTACTAGTCAAATAAATTGGTGTGATTGTGTGCCCTACCCTATGAATCAAAATAATACTACAACTTATGCTGAAAGGAAATAAAAGTTACCAAAGGGTTGAGCTCAAGTTAAGTTAACACAAAGCGCAAAAAAAAAAAGTATTTTAAGTTTTTCTACCATGCAAGGATAACTACAGGAAGTGTATTACAAAAATTATATTGTACGGCACTCGATTAACAACTATATGGGTTGCGCTAATAAAAAAAAAAGTTCTCTCTTTTTTTCTTTTTTATTTTGAGGAGGCGGGGAGGTGGGTATCCAAATCATTCCCAGGTTAATTTAGTACGTCTCTCTTCCGTCGAACCGTGATAAAATTTAAAAAAACAATTAGCACGCTTTATAGTTTCTCCTTTCACTACGAGTATAAAAACAAACTGTAAAACTTTTTTTTTTCAGCTTAACGAACGAGATTTCCGTTAGGATACAGAGTCCATGGCTATACCCAGATTTTACGTTTTACCGAACTGATAATGGCCGGCGGTATAAAGATGGCGTTGCCGCGGTACACGCGTTCAGCACCAAGGTAACGCAATGTTGGGTTATTTCTCTTTGCTTAGAATCGTTTATTTTTTATTTGCTCGTTTTCACAGGGTGCATACTGTACCAAGATATGTTGCATCTCGAAGAGATCGTGAATATACTTCCGGGATGAGATACGGCGGTGGTGTACTTATAGCTTGCAGGCAATCTTTGAACGCACATAGACGTCACGATCTAGAAACTTATCAAGAATCTGCCTGGGTGGAGATAACTTCCGCTGATGGGTTCAACATTCTTATCGGATCATATTATTTTCCCCTGCCTCAGATTCTGCTATCTTTATAGACCACTTCCATTTCCTGGAAAACAGTATCGATATGGCTGACTATCGCGTACAAATTTACGGAGATTTTAACCTGCCAAAGGTGGACTGGCCTCCCGGTATAATTAACAGTGCAAGCTCATTCACGCGTCAAAAAGTGTCCTGCTTGTTCAACTTTATCAATTTTAATGATTTTACGCAGCAGAACACGTTTGCGAACTGTTCCGGTAATATTCTGTATCTAGTTTAATCTAACTTTCATGTCGCGGAAGTGGCTCGCATAAATGATCCGCTGGTAAATGCTGATGCTTACCACCCTCCGCTCCCAATCTCGTTTTCAATGTCGTTAAGGGTGATACCACTTTGCTGCGTGCTCAGATATACGTACGATCTCGGTGATTATTTTGGGTTTTTTAAAATATTTTAAGAAATATGATTGGAGCATTATTTTACAAAATTCGGATGTTGATTTAATGGCGGACGGTCTTAGATCAGTAGTCAATAAAGCAAATGGATAAGTATATTCCTAGGCACCTTCAACGCCCCGAGAAGTATCCAAAATGGTTCTCTAAGGATCTACGACATTATTTAAGGTTAAAATTGTGTTATCATAGATTGTGTAAAAAGAAGAAACTCGACTTCTGGTATGAAAAGTATAGCATACGCCGTGAACTATCAAAGAAGCTCTTCGTTCATGACCAGTATATACATCATAGGCAAGTGGAGCTACCCGAAGAATTCTGGCGCTTTGTAAAAAAGCATATCAGGAAGCAGTCGGGCAATTTAACGCTGCGCAGTGAATCTGGTGTTCACATGTCCCCAAAATCTGTTTGCGAGCAGTTTCCACATTATTTTACTTCATGTTTTTCTAGTGTCAACACCAGTTCGCCTGTGACATGTAGGTCTGATGACTATTTTCCTCTTACGAGAATTACAGTCGACGAGGTGCTTTCGGCTATTGGAAAACAAATTTCTAAACTATCGACCGGCTGCGATGGTATTTACAATTTTATTGTGAAGGGCTGCAGCGAAATTTTCGCTCCTGTTTTTGAGAAGTTGTTTAACTTGTCGCTACAAACAGGTGTATTTCCATAAAACTGGAAATCTTCAATTATTGTCCCAATTTTAAAATCTGGTAATTCTAGTGACGTCAGCAATTATTGTCCAATATCTATTTTTAATGCATTTTCAAAAGTATTGGAGAAGGTGATGTACAACCGCCTATATCATTATTTTAAACAAAAGGTAGTTTCTATACCACGGGCGGCGGAGAAAAGCTCACCGGAGATAAGCTCACCGGAGATAAACTCACCGGAGAAAAGCTCACCGCGAAACCGGCATATGCGGAGAAAAGCTCACCGGCCTTTGATCGGATGCGGAGAAAAACTCGCCGATTTTCTTTTTTAACTTAGAGTATTCTGTGTCAAACGTGTCAATTTAACACAATTCGCATTCGTCACTTCATTAAAAATATATCCTCTTTTTGTAATATTCTTGAAGTTCATTGGGCATAATTACTAATTCCTCAGAAATTAGTAATCACCCATTCTGTATATTATTGAAGCCGCAAGTATAAAATCAGAACATTGCACACCGGTAAAAAATACAACAATTTATATACAGCTGAAAGTGCGCCGGCTGTAGCTCTGTCAGATAAAGAGGTTTGTACTTTTAGAGCTAATATGAGTAGTGATGTGTGAACCGTTTCAGCTCCAAATATTCGATAGTGCTTAGTAGATAAGTAGGTGTTTGCTGATGTAATCAGTGTCGGCTACGCTGTTTTCCTTCTGTTAATTTCACTTACAAACTTTAGTTACGTGAACAGCTTCGTCCTGTCGTGTTTGTGGACTTCACTCCGTCGCCGTCGTTTGAGCGGTTTTCAACATGTATAACGTTTACCAACTCGCCCAATTCGCTAATTTGCAGAAGACTACACTCTCAGAAAAAAAGGTGTATTATTACACCCCTTGTCCCATATAATACACCCCAAAACTTCAATTCGACGTACAGCGCCCCATAATCGAACAGGCGGCCCCAAAGTTTATGAGGGGCTTGATAGCCGTGTGGTACAACTTATTAAGATAGCTGATGTACGTATTATTGACTACAAAAAAGGTTATCGGAGTTTTCTTGGCCATACTGCAAAAGCTCTGTGTTTTCTTTCTTTGGTCTTTGATACGTACTTTAGCAATTTAATAAGTTATATCGCACCGTTATCAAGCCCCTGGTAAAATTTTGTGCCGTCTGTTCAACTATAGGGCGCTGTACGTCGAAATGAAGTTTTGGGGTGTATTATATGGGACAAAAGGGTGTAAGGTGGTACCCTTTTTTTTTAGAGTGTAATTCTTATATAGGTCACGAGAAAAAACGTGCCAGTGTGCAGCTCTGAAGGTCATGAATGGCTCGTCGTAGAAGGGCAAAATCACACAAAGGCAACGTGTGGAAACACCAGCACGAACGGCTACAAACGTGCATGTCCGTAGAAGAAAAAGTCTCGACTTCCTACTGACTGTTTTATCCAGTTTTCAAAGGTTAACAAAAGCTTCAAAGAGAATTTCAGGCACCGCGTTATTGCGCATGCACTTTCGGATTTTCGGGATTTAGAACTTTGATTTTTAGGTTTTAGGCAGGCATTATTACGTTTTCGAACTTTTTCCTGTTCTTCAAGTTTATAAAAGTTTTCAGTTCGGCTTTCGTTGCCTACAGATTAAGCCACAGAAAACACTCGCCCGCAATTATTAAATTGGAGGCAATATACACAATAAGCTTAACAAATATTACAAAAAAGAGACTTTCTTTTCTACAAAGCTGACGAATTTTAATGATAATAAATTGATATATGTTACGCATGATCCAACAGCCTCCATATAAAATGAAGAAAAAAAATCGGTGAGCTTTTCTTCGCATACTCTCAATGGACGGTGAGCTTTTCTCCGCATCCGCCGGTTTCGCGGTGAGCTTTTCTCCGGTGAGCTTATCTCCGGTGAGCTTTTCTCCGGGATTCCTATACCACATGGGTTTTTAGCAGGGAGATTCGTTAAAACAAATTTATGCACATTTCTTAATTATTTTATGCCAATTGTTCAGAGCCGGGGTCAGCTAGATGCAGTATATTTGGATATGTTCAAAGCCTTTGACAAGTTCAATCATCCATTGTTATTGAAGAAACTTGGGAACTATGGGCTTGGTCCTGAATATATTACCTGGTCCAGGAGTTATCTACATGAAAGACAGAACTGTGTTAGAATTTCTGGCTTCTTGTCACAACCTTTCATGTCTATTTCGGGTGTACCTCAGGGCTCGAATCTTGGTCCGCTGTTTATTATTTTTATAAATGATTTACTGACCTTTGTGAAACACTCGCAGGTGCTCATGTTTGCAGACGACGTTAAACTGTTTCGGCAGGTCAAAATTATCACTGACTGTGCTTCGCTGCAAGAAGATGTCTATTCAGTACAAAGATGGTGTATTCTGAACAATTTAGTTTTGAACCCCCGCAAAACCCAAGTGATGTCTTTGTCCAGAAAGCGTAGCACATTATCTTACATGTACTGTATGGGAAATGAAACTATAAGTCGGACCACAATAGTTAAAGATCTAGGGGTGTTTGTGGATGATCGCCTTTCTTTTGATTCTCACATAAACTCCATTGTTAGCCAGAGTCTGCGCATGTTGGGAATAATGGCCCGCCTAAACTAGACCATTTAGCACTCATCATTGTCTTTTGCGACTGTTCAGTACTCATGCACGCTGTAGACTTGAATTTGCAGCCGTTATTTCGAACGCTATCTCTAGTACAGCGAGTGAAAAAAATTGAACATATGCAAAAACGATTTGTGCGGATTGTTTATGACAAATATTTTGGTCGCAAATGTTATTTTGAATATAATTTAATTTTATCCAAACTAAAACTGGGCACTCTGCATAACAGGAGATCTGTCCGGGATGTTAAGTTTTTGCGCAGGTTGGTCCATGGGTTCATAGACAGTCCTGCACTTCTTGCTTCTTTACACTTCCGCATTCCCTTCAGTGCAAACTCTAGAAATCTCAGTTTTTTACCTAGATATTCATGGCAACTTGTCACCGATATCACGAATTCAACATGTTTTTGACACGAAGTTCTGCAATGTTGATATTTGTTGTACAAAACTGCCTCTTGTTTGCACAATGTTGCTCTGAAATTGCCTAAACTGTTTGCATGTGTATTAATGTAAACCATATGTATAAGTTTTTAAGCATGTGGATAATTTGAAGCATGGATATTTGTGATGACTATGTATTTTATGTTTCATGCTTTACCGCAAAGGCCTTTGAGTTGTGGTTAAGCACGCGAAAAAAAACATTGAATTGATTGAATTGAATCTCATTATCTCACAGATAATACAAAAACGAAGAAGAGAGATGCTTGACGAGAGAAAAAAAGCCTCTAAAACAGCTGCAGCTGAACATGGGTCCCCGAAGAAAAGGCTCCTCACCTTTTTGGATATCTTGCTGAACCACAGTCTCGACGTCGACGAGTCGTTTACTGACGAAGATATCGGGGAAGAAGTCGATACGTTTATGTTTGCGGTATTCTTCACTATTTCCTATCACGGCTGCGCAGAGTGTTTTTTCGATTTCTTGTAACTGCTTAATATTACAGAGTGTCCAACTGCTCAATCGGGGTTACATGAACTATGGGACGCGTTTGCGATACGAGCTGCAAGGACGTGACGATCGTGTTGGTCGTCTGCGCGGGCATCTTCGCCCTTCCGCCTGCTTTCCTCCTTGCCACCCAAAAATGTAGCGCATGCGCACTAATGACCAATATCCGCCGGAACTGTCCACCATTAAATTGCAAATGCTCCTCATGGTTCGAGATGGACCAGCTCTCTACCTAGGATCTTGGAAATTAGAATACACCCTGCACGCAATGCACAGACCATGCATGTATAGGGCTCTAAGGGCTTTTTCCATTGTCTATAGGGTCATGACACAACTGCTATGGCGATTGCCTGGAACTGCTATCTAATAGCCCTGCACCCTGACGTTCAAAAGAAAGTTCAAGAAGAATTAGATATGGTACTCGGTGAACACAAGACCGAAGGCATTTCGACGGAGAACTTGAAAGAACTGAAATACCTGGAGTGCGTCGTAAAGGTATATGTTCGTTTTGCTGTCAAATTCCATGATTTGTTACGCTTTTGGATCCTTTTAAAATAAAAAAAAATTAAACGAAGTTTTAGTGATTATTTACATCGAAAATGCAGGAAAGTCAAAGGCTGTGTCCCTCTGTGCCGATGATCGGAAGGACTGTGACGAAGTCGTTCACGTTAGGTAAATAAATATTCATGTTTTTCTTAATTATTTTCTGTTATCTGAAAAGCACTAAATGAGCAATGTACACGTTTGTTTAACATATTATAAGAAATAAACTTAGACACCGAATCCACGCCGTATAATTGCGCCTTCGCCAATTTAGAAGAAAACAAAACTACTTTTTATGAAAAGCTTAGGTGTGCCTTTTATTGTCTCACTCGTCTCGCACCATTTCACTCTAGTTTCTGTTTTTGTTCAGTGTTGGGTACTTTTCGTTTTTCTTTTCGAAGAATACAAATACTGTGCATTCTTTTTGGATCACTGAGTATACAGTTATAAACGCACGGAGTCCATGGTATTGTAAAGCAGCTACCTCTGGTCAACGAAAGACAAAATGCATTTTAAGATCCGAGCTCATTTTCTTGTTATATTATTATTATGAGCGTGTTATCGCTGCTACTTTGTTTGTGCTTTACGTTCTTATTTAAACGCCTCGCTTGACGATATTACTAAATTTATTATATGCAACCGCTCTGGCTTATTCCTAGTGTTTAAAATTCCTAAATGCTGCCAATATCTGTATAAACGGCAAAACTAAATTTTTCGTCTTGATTAGTTCATATTTGGCGCATTTTCTTTATTTATTTTGTCTTGTTTTGTTTTTGTTTAGGGAATTATGTGGTACCTGAAGGAACTTCAGTGGAAATCTTTATTTACGGGCTCCACAGAGATCCCGAAGTATTTCCAGACCCCGAGGTGTTTGACCCAGATCGTTTTCTGCTAGAGAACTGCGCTTCTCGTCATCCTTTCGCATTTATACCGTTTTCAGCGGGTTCAAGAAACTGCATCGGTAAGAACGATCTCTGATTGCGCGCAAACTTGCTAAAAACTGCCGCCATGTTTTTTGTTTTTTTTTTTGTTGTTTTTCTGTTGACGGATGTTTTTTGTTTTTTTTTTGAGGAATGCAAAGCACATGTCGCAGGAATGCTTTTGTTGGTCACAAAAAAAAAAAAAAGAAAAGTCCCACACACTCAAACAATACCTTGCTTATTTTCAATCAGTCTATGCAGTTGTCGCATGTTCTTTGACTTTTAAATGGGAACGTGCATACACGTTCTATGAAAATAGCAAAAAAATCATGTGCAATATTTTTTTTAATTATTTTTCTTGTGTACAGCGAACAAAACTAATGTTTTTAGACTTTAGAGAGTGACACTTTTTTTAAATTTAGAAATAGCTTGGTTTGTGAACGAAACAGGAAAGAGATTTAAGCCTACTGATAACGGATATTACTTTTCTCTGACGAACGGTTTTCAGTTGAAAACTGAATGGATCTTCACACTGCATATATTTCCACCTTATTCAGCAGCTATGCCGTACGGCTTTAAATGCGGACAAGGGTATGAGCGGAACAAGTGTTCTTTGTGTCGCAAAGCCTCCCCAAGCAAGAGTAGACATACTTTGAAGAATGTTGCTTGTGGTCTTAAAACAACCTAGGCAACGCCACCATAGAAACGCCAACGTAAAAAAACAAACAAACAAAAAAACGATATTTTTAAGAATGTGTTTGGCATAGGAGGAGGAGGAGGGGCTGAATGGGGAGTGCTTTTATGTTGTTTGCTGCTTCTGTCCGTGCTCCGCCTTCGGGAGACGCGGAGTGCTGGACGCTGTGACAACCCTTCAGAGATGCTATTATCAGACATCGTCTGGATAGACCGCATGAGGCTCTGATGAGTTTATTAACATCATCTTGGGCCACGGGACCGAACTTTCTGTGGCGTGCGCAACTGGAAAACGCGAGCTGTGGCAGAAACTGCGACTGGAGCATGTGTAACGATGAAACTGGCAGCGGAGCACCAAAAAAAAAAAAGATAGCAGCGTGGTTTTGCCGGACCATCCTAGCAGGTGGACAAGAAGGTTGGTCAGACTTAAAGTGCTAGATAATAAATAATATTGGTTTGTTTACATGGGCCACTTGCACGTCATCCATTTACAAATGTAGTACTCAGTACTCACGGATACGCTTTGAGAGCATGGTCACGTGTCACAAGCTAGACAGTTGATTTTGTTTCCGTTCTAGTGACCAACATGTAGGCACCACTGCGTGCTCGGTTCAGGATCAGTAGTACTTGTCCCTTGAATGACGACGTAATTATTTTTTTTTTTCAGGTCAAAGGTTTGGCAGCATGGAAGTGAAAATAACAATTGCACACATATTTAAAAATTTCACCGTGAAGCCCTTCGATCAACGTGACAAGCTTCTGCTTTCTTCCGAGTTGGTCTTGAGATCGGTTGATGGACTAAGGCTCAAATTTACACATCGTGAGGTGTGACGCCTCAGTGCTCATCCTGGGGCACATTATAGGTTGTAACATAGAATGGCAGTGATGAACCATTTGTGTTGTTTTCTAGAAGTTGCCTTGTAAAAAAGCAGGATTTGTGGAGATTCACTCATTGAACTACGAATAAAAAATTACCTAAAATTATCACAATACATATATAAATATACAGACTTGTTTCTCGTTGTAAAATATACTGTGAACAAACCATTTAACAAATCAACGCATGATCCTTTCAGGCTGTATTCTTTGTCTAGGTCTATGTCCATTAGTATGCAAGGCCTTTACTTGGTTCAGCACTGCGAAAATAGACGCAAGCACCCTGAAGTTCTATGTACTATATGAATTGTACGTGTACTCTTGGTCAGTAAATGTCCGAACACAGCAGTTCCGCACCTTCTTTCTGGGTAGAGGGCCGGATTATCCAGTGTTTGAGAAGTTGAAATGAACCGGGCCCTCCTAGAAAAAGGACCTCCGACCCCGACATGAAAAACAAAAATGACGGCCATCGTAATTTGGGCCGCAAAACTAAGCTCAGTGTCAGCAAGAGATTAATTATATAATGACAACAAACAGACATTATCAATTGAGGTAATGGGTATCTCCAGGCATAAAAAAATGTTTATTATTACGGTCTTCAAGCTGCTATTGTATTAGAAACCATGGGGTGGAAGACCGTGTGTGCAATTACTTTAACTGTTCTTGAATAATACTCGAAAAAGGCGATCGGACGAGCATGCCATTGCGCGCCGTAGCTGTGGGTTTAGTTGAAAGGTAAAACAAATCCGACTTCTCGCGCACGTGACAACTCGAAGTCTGGCATCCTTCGATAAGCACACCTACTATTTACCATTTGTCTGCGCGGAAGCTCTCAAGTCACGGAAAAGAGAATGCATGGTCATCTTTGACTCCACTCTATACTCCCTCAGATTTATCGGATAGTTTTAATGAATTGACCGTTTTCACCTGTTTTTGTAAACTAATTACGCCTGAGTTTATTGATAGCGAAATTCAAAGCTCCTTTTAAAGCATTTATTACAACAAATACGACCGGTTGCGGATAGAGGCCCATCAACGTGTGGTATGCACACCTTGTAATGCCGCTGTTTAACCAAAAAAAAGTGCACACAAATCAAATCGGTTAGTTAACACGAGAATACGCACAAGCACCCGTAATGTTTTATACAAGGAGATTAATTTTAATTTAAACATTTAAAAAAAAAGATGGGTGAGAGTTAGACAAGTGCCATTTTCACCATGTATTTATCAGGCTCGGAGGGCATTAGACGAGGGGATAATCGTCATGGTCGAGTGGGCTAACGAAATTCGTTAATTAAATCATTAATTATATTGGGGGTGGTCATGTTTCAATTGCAGTATTGATGGCAAATACTATGGAAGGCAAGACTAATGTTAAAAATTGTAAGAGTGTCACGCAACTCTTTTTTTTTTTTTTTTGTGTGTGTGTGTGTGAATCCGGTGCAGCATCGGATCTGCGGGTTTAATGCAAAACTTAGAGATGCATATTTTACCCACAATCTTCAAACATCGCATTTTTAGATCCATGTAGCGATATTGAAATATTTCCCTCTCTTAATTCCTTATCCAATAATTCTGCAGCTGGGGACGATGATATCAAAGCCGAGTGAGTCAAATTTGTCGCAGGCTTATTATGTGTCTTACCGCGGCATATCTGCAATAACGCTTTACCGACCGGAACTTTTCCAGACAGCATGAAGATTGCTAGGGTAATTACGCCTATGCACAAAGGATAACTCTTGATAACGCTAACAATTACAGGCCCATATCTTCCCTCCCACTGTTTTCCTATAAGTACTCGAACGTGTGATAAAAACTCGTATAAGCCGCCAAAAACGGCGATATTGCTTTTTTTTTTTTTTTTTTTTCAGTTGTACGCAACGAGGGTGGACAATTTAGGACTTTGTCCGTCTTCTGTCCAAACCCGTCGCGACCTTTCCCTTCACTTTCAACTGTGATACATGGTTTTGCTTACCGCGGCTTGTCATTTTTGTTTTTCTGTCTTTTCCGCGCGGGTTTGCAGAAAAGGACAATCGGTGTGATTTTTCTTAACAAGCTGCCTAGGCCTGCAGATTGGTCCAACTGATAAAAGCAGAAAAAAAAAAGAAAAAAGATGCTTACAGCATATAAAGGGATACTACAACAAAATTTCGGCGCTTATTTCTTGGTCTATTCGTGTTGAAATAAGCGCTATCTCATTAGATACACCAATCTCCTGTCGAAAAAGACACAAAAAAAAAAGTTTAAAACGAATTAAACGATCAGGAAAGAGCACCTGATGACTGTCGCTAACGCCTCGTTATGCCAGTCTAGGAAGTCTGACAGGTAGTGACGATCCCTGTCTCGCCTCCGGCCACCATAACAGACGAGGGGAAGGAGGAACTCCCCTCTTCCCAGAAGGGGCTATTGTCCCACCCGTCTCTCAAAATTCGTACAAAAGCAGCCGTTTCGGTGGCGGGAACGACTAGGACGTTCCCTCAACGTCAGCCTCGCCCCAGATATGCTCGCCCCGAGACGAACAGCGTCACGATTGCGGCGGATGTCACGTGTTCTCCGCTGGCTGCTCTCCGAGCGCTTGCCACTTAGACTTCGAAAAGGAAATCGTCAAACGGTCAAAACAACTGGGTTTGGTGTAGCGACATCTTTTGAAGAATTCCGCCTCCCATCTTGGAGCGATCCAGGCGGCGCTACAGTGCTAAAATATACAAGTATTTGAAATACGTATTTCAAATACTTTGTGTATTTTGCATTTGTATTTAATTACAAATTGCGTAATGTATTTGTCGTGTGTATTTAAATACTAAAACGTGGGTATTTCAAATACAATTGTAATTAAATACAATTTTGTGGGTGAAAATACATCCCTCAAATTTATTGTCACTGCCCAGAACAGGAAGAAAAGTACGTTCTGCACCGAATGCAGTGTCTCTCAATCAAGCACAAGCGTTTAGTGACTTTGTGATTACGGTGCTAGTCCAGGGCAAGAATAGTGACGAAATCGACGTTCACAGGCACTCTGGCTAAATAAGTTCCTATGACAGCTTGTGATGCTTTCCAGCCTGATTTCCATCCATATGTTTGCCTGGAATATTTTAAATGCGCGGGTTGCCCAGATTTTCGTATTTGGTGCGAGTAGCAACAATAAAAAATTTTTTAGCTAGTGCTGCGAGTCTTGGTCGTCTCGGTTCTTTGTTGGTCTATACCAAAATGTAATCGACAAAAAAAGTTGCTTGAAGCTCTGTACTTTTTTCACCTATTACGTCCAAGCTGATTACATTTTTTTTATTATATTTCTTTTACGTTACTAGAGCCTCGCACACTAACTCCCGAGTGTGCAATGCAAATTAAAATGAGATACCCAGAAACTTCAGGTGACCTGAAGTCGCTGACGCAAATTTTGAGGAATGTATTTGGAAATGTAATTGGGGGAGACGAAATACATTTGGTTGTATTTGTATCTTGTTCTTATATGCTTTTTTACGAAATGTAATTAGATTTGCAATTAAATACATTTTTGACGAAGTATTTTGTATTTGTATTTCGATACATATTTGCATGTATTTTGCCCATCCCTGCCCACGTGTTCGCTTTGGAATGACTGAACTGTCCATTTCAGTGAGAATAGTTTGTTGTACTTGCCCTTGAAATTGCCATCCTTTACCACACATATGTTTCAAAATATCTGTACTCTATATATCTGAAATCAAGTTCCGCATCCCATCAAATAAACATGAAGGAAGAAATATTGCCTCGTACTGGTAAAGGCGAGCGAATTGAACATAAATGCATAACATTGAAAGAATAAAACACGGAGGACAAGCACCAGGACAATCACGTCCCTTCATTTAGCAAAAAGACCCCGACCAAGATAGGATGATAAGGGGGAAGGCGAACTGGAAGATGGAAAGGGTTATCACCTTTCCATCTCCCAATTCGCCTGCCCCCTTATCACCTTATCTTAGTCGGGGTCTCGTTCAGGGTGCAATGTTTCTGCCCAAAATAAACGTCGTTGCTAAATGAAAGAACGTGGTTGTCCTGTGTTTGTCCTCCGTGTTTGATTCTTTCAATTGTATGTAAATACTGCCTATTTTATTTATTTGAGCATTTTGTACCCCACAAACACCGCTCTCCCCCTTTGCTCTATGCCCCGTGCAGAACAGACTGCATGAGCAAGGGACCGAGAGGCCCCCCCCCCCCCCACCGGCCCCCCCTTTCCCGGGGGGTAGGTTTGGCATCTCGAGGGGAGAGGGGAGGGAGAGGATTTCGACCCCCCCCCCCTCCTTGCCTACGCCACTGCATCACAAGGTGCATAACGGGTAACGGTGGTCTGTGCTACATGTGTCAAACACTGCACGTTTACAAGATAACGCCCCGCATTTTGAATCATCATTTACAATTATCACGAAGTTTATAAAAAAAAATGGCGAAATCATTGCGAGGTAGTCGTATCTCACCGCCATTAATTTTCCCCTAAAGCCGGAGTCACACTGTTTATACACTATGCAAAAAACAGTCTGCAAACAGATTCGTACGCGAGTCACCAAGATATCTGAGCTTTGAATGCCGCATGGCAACGAATTCAAGGAGACACTTGGCATGCTGGATTCGAACCACGGATATCGCGGTGACTGATATCTGCCGACTTTCTTTTGCTTAAAGGTACTTCTATTAGAAGTAAACACCGCAATGTGAGCCAACAATTGCGTAATAAATATTAAAAATATTAAAAAAAGGACAACTCGGACTAACCTCGTGCTCAGGCTCAAAAACCTGCGTCAAAAAACGTGCAATAATAATGAAAAAAAAAAAAAAAAAGAGAAAAAAAAGTACAGCATGATTATTTTTATTTAGGGAAATCCAAGTTCTTTTTGTACGGAGCTATGTTTTTTTTCTGGAGTTTTATACGCGCTACACATTGCAGTCAAATATATCAAAAGGCGCGCTTGTAGCGCTAGCCGACACATGTCCAGACTGAAATTATATAAGCATAAAAACTTGTCTATCTACTTCCCTAGAGCAACTGTTCACCATACTACCACAAGACACAAAAATCTGTAAGTAGAAGCTGCAGTAACTCGACGTAACGAGACTTTTTCTTGGACTTTTCCCCCTCGGGCCATGCTGAAACTAGCTGAAACTAGGGTGTCTACTTGTCTGTCTGTCTCGGGGTGAAGATATTCAATTTGTTGCCCTTATTGTGCCTGCGTGTGACGCTTTAGCGCACTAGGTGCGTGATTTGGGCGCTAAAATGGCGTTTATTCATTAGCCAAAGCTACGCGCTCGAGTTGAGTGACACCGGATAGCGCGTACCTCAAAATGCATTAAAAAAACGACTGGGCGGGAAAATGGCTGACATGTCACCAGTCAAGCAAAAGCGCACGTGTGCATGAAGGCACTCTAGCTGAAACCACAAACTGCCAACGGCGAATTTGATACCTGGGTTGAGAGCGCCTCCCCGCGGAGGGACGCCGTGTCCTTCTCTTTTTCCGAATGTCTTCTTCGCACCATAGCTCCGCACGAATGGGGCTCGTACTATTTGAGCGTGTTGGTGCTTTTTAAACATTTAGAAAGTGGAGACGCATAAGGGACGATTCTGGCAGGGAGGGACGGCCGGGCTATGTGCGGCCGGAGAAACGTTCGCGCGCTTCGGGATGTTAAAAAAAAAGTCGCTAGGTGACGGAAGCCGCCACCCAATTTCGGGGGTCCGACGCATGCACCTGTTTTTCCGCGTTTTACGTACGAGGTGAATAGAAACTGTCATCCATTCATTGGGTATTCGAGCGCCAGAAGTGCCAATAGTGTCAAGATGGAAGGGACTGATTGTTCGGATATGATTTAATCATGTTTACAGGTGAGAAGCTCTCATTCAGTGTCCAACATGCTTAAAAGAAAGTAGTAATGTTGTGTATGTATGCTTCACAAGAACGCCCGAACTTGAGCAGGTACGGGCGGATAGCGATCCTAGGGGCGCCAGAGGCACCGCGACCGCGGGCGATGGAGATGGATCGTTTTTGAACGACACTGTGTGCAAACTTCATATTTACAAAAACAACAACAACAACATGGTAAACTTATTATTGACTAAAACCTCGAGACTTAGAGGAGGAGGGATGGACATCATATTTGACAGAGGAGAAGGAGTGGACAAACCCAGTTTCAAATACAGCGGAATCTTCTATGACAAACAATTCTGCTCATATAACTTCCACAACCCCCCCCCCCCCCCCCCCCCCAAAAAAAAAAAAAAGAAAGGAGGGAAGGGAGAATACAAAACGCTCCTTCCATAATAAACAGAGAGGCAGTGACCTACACCGATCACCACTTCTCGCATACCTTTTCTTGCCACATGAATGTTCACAGAGGCAGTGACCAACTTAAGAAACGGGAAATGCTTAGATTTTTGATCTTGAAGCACTCGAATAGTACTATAACACGGTATTTTAGTCAATGTTCAACCATATCACCAGCTCGTTTGTGGCCATCTGATCAATAAAATCAATTTCCCCCACAGCTAACGTGCATCCAAGGTTCAACTGGTTCCGCCATTTCTGTACATGAGGCCAACATCACCTAGAAGACAAAAGGCCTGCGCATTTCTCGCCTCAAGCGTCGTCACTAGTGGAACCACGCAGCTCTGCCTAGCTCTTGTAAGCATTGTCAACAGTGCGCCTTGCAGTGTCTCACAACGAGTGCGACGATGCCAAGATGAACGCGTCTCCTGCTTTGCAGCGTCTCTCGTCAAGCTCTGTTGTGTTTTTCGCTTTGGGTGGGTCAGAAATACACTAGCGATCACGTAATGAGCAGGCCTTGTCTTCTAAGTACAGGAAGTTCCCGAGAAAAGTGAACTGTGTTTGGTATGACAATGCACTGTAGAAAGCTCGAACTCTGTGAAAATGAGACGCTGGCGGTTGGGATAGAACGCGAAAATTTGAGAGCACGACATTGGTGCAAAAAATGACACATTTCTTGTTTTGACGATATTAGGCTCGGGCGGGCTTAGGGAAATCACAGTTTTTCTCAATCATCGTATGATTCGCATAACGAGTTCTCAAACTTTTGCGTTCTATCGCAAAAGTTTGCGATAGAACTATTAGCTTTCTGCGATACATAGTTTATTCACCTGTGCCAAAAAACACGGTTCTCTTTTCTCGGGAACTTCCTGAGTTATTGACTAGCCCAACAAAGCACCTTGATAAAATTCACGCTTTGCGCTTCTCACGAGTACCGACAACTATTGTTGTGAAAACACGCAAGACATGTGACGCGGTGAGCGAATGTTCCGCCTCCGTTTGCTTCTGGAGGCGGCTCGTTTCGATGCTGTGCCGCCATTGGCTTCCGGGGGCCGCACGACGCACGGGCCTCGTGAATTGGCGCATTGGATGCTACTTACAAGACGCACATCAAGGGGCTTTAGGCTGATAGCATGCATAGCTTGCACTGACGTCACTTGGTCAGACATAATGGGGGGAAAGGGCACATTAGAGGGTAGCTTCCGCCGCGTCAATGAGTCGCCGCTGGCCACCGGAAAGAGGGGCGGACTAATGTCACATGCAAGCCATGTATAGCGAGTGCCGCCTGGGGGGCACTCCATGAGAGGGTGCCAGGTGTCCCAGGACGCCTGACAACCGGCTTCATTCTCGGAACGCTGGTTTAAAAGTAACCTTGTTTGTCTACTGCAGGGCGTCTTTTTTCGGACGTCCTGGCTGCAACACGTGCTCGTTGCCTTTTTGCCGTGGTGCCTGGAACGTGTCTCCGACTGGTATGTCTACCGCATCCCAAGAAGTGGCCCCTCAATTTTCGCCCGATGACGTCGCTAGAATGTCACCTTGTCGCTGGCCACGATCCTGGTGGTGTTGCAGTGTCGGTTTTGTACATGGCCTGTTACACTGAAGGTTTTTTTTGAGCTTGACAGTCCACGGAAGCTCTGGGAGCCAGAAGTTGGGACGCTGTTGCGACGGCGACACTCACCTTTGCTCGTGCTTTTCGCCAGGATCGGGACATCTAACGGCGTGGCTGTGTTCTAAATCTTGCCCAAGTGATTCCGAGTTATTCCGGCAGGTCGTGTCACGTGACAGCACAGATAGAAAAACGCTGGTTGCGGGTAGGGTTTAGAATGCCAGTGTACAAAACCCTTACCCTGGTGCAAGACGATAAAATTTTGGAACACGGTCCATGACACTCTGGCTTTTGTGACGTCGTTTGTTACCACTTTGGGAACACTTTCGATGTACGGGCGGGATAAGACTCTAAACGCACCTGTCGTAGACGCATTCTGGGCGCCATACCTTTGCCGTGCTTTGGCTGCTCAAGGCTTAAGAGACGCCGAAGCATCATTGAAGCAAGAAAGCTCGAGCTGGAGGCGGGACTACTGAAACTAATCCCTGCCATTCTCATGCTGTTGGTGATTATACAGGGTGCGGCCGTAAAATCTTTCACATTTGGCACGCCTAGCAAAAATCGAATTTCAAACGCACATACCTGAAATTGGGCACACGACCGTCGTTTATTCTAAAGTTTTTTGCCAATTTTTTTCTGATCTCAACTCGGGAGCAGCGAATTATTAGAAAGAGAATAAAAATGGCAGACGTGCATTTCCTATGGCCTATACCCGCCCGTTCGCCGTCTGCAATCTGGTTCGCGACGCCACTCCCAGGTGGCGCACTGAACGCAAAAACGCGGTGAACGCCGCACGAAAGGCTGGCGTCGGGTGAGATAATCGCGGTAAAAAGTAATTTTAACAAAATATGTGAACGATTATGCTCTTTTAATTGAAATTTAGAAACTGATGGACAACCTCGTTTATTAAACATATATTCTAAAGCCGACGAACGAGTGTCTTCCTTTGTCGTCTGCTTATCTGTTGACGGGTCCGTCTCTGGTGAAAGCTCAACTTTGGAATCAAGAGTGCCGCTGCTGAGGCATCTTGATTGCTGCTATTCATTGTTTTTGTTGCACTATCTGCTGCAGTTATTATCAAAACATTTCTCGCACCGCCCTGCAATGCCGTAATACTCGGCCAATGAGTGTGCCAAGGCACTGAAGTGGTACGTGGAGCGGAACTCGGTGGCCACAGTACAATGAAAATTTTGCACTGCATTTCGTAAACACTCGCCTTCATGCCCGACAATTTTGACTTGGGCGAATCGTTTTGCGAGCGGGAGACTTTAGAAAGAAAATTCCAGTCAGTGTATGTGAGAGCCTGCTGAAAAATGAAGAGCTCATTGAAGTGTTTCTTGCTGTCTTGGAGAGTGACCCGCAATTGTCAACAAGACAAGCAGCCTAGTTGTTTGAAATTTCGGTAAAAAATGTACGACGGATTCTGCGGAAAAACAATTTGCGCCCGTACAGGGTGCGAGTTGTCCAAGCCCTGCACGACGGCGACAATGCCCGACGTTTAGAATTTTGCAAGGCGGAGTTGTTGCGAAATAATAGCAACCCGGGGCACCTGCGATTTCTTTTATTTGGTGACGAAGCAAACTTTCACCTTGATGGACATGTAATGGGGTGGCTCTCCGTTACGCAAGGAGTGTGAGGGCATGGCTCAATAATACATTCCCTCGGCGGTGGATGGATCGGGGATCAGACAATATGGACTGGTCTCCGCGATCCCCCGACTTAAATATGTGCAACATTTTTGTATGAGTATTTATAAAAGGACTTGTCTACAAGAGGAGGATCCCCAGCACAGAAGAGCCGAAAGAAAGAATTCAGGGCGCGTTCCTCGAGATCGACGATGGGATGCTGCGCGAAAGGGATTTCCTGGCGTACGAAGCTCGACTTCGGCTTTGCGTATCTGTGAAGGGAGGGCATATCGAATCGGCCGAACCCTAGTCGTCTAAAGGGCCGCTGCAGCATCAACATAATTTCAAATCGTCGTGACAGAAGAGGCGTATCAGAAGGTGTATTTTTCAAGAATAAACAATTGAATGAACGCACAACTTCCACTTTCTGACGGAATTTAAACTATTAGTTTCCCTGTTACTTTCGTCTCTCGTGCTGCTTGCGGCACGCGGAGAGCAAAGTAGAGGCTGCTGATAGAGGTACCAATGGGAAACCGGCAAGAAGACGACTATTTCTCTCAAATACCAGCCATTTTATCCCCGACCGGCCGAAATGACTAGCGCCGTAAATATTGCTCCAATTAATATGATTTCTTCTTTTTTTTTTACAAACATGTGTTGCGAATTGTGTGTTATTTATACCCAAGCTGTATGAAAAAAAAATATTGCTTTACGAGTTACAGTGGTTCTGTAAAAATCAGAATGAAATGATAACTAAAAAAAAACTTGTCTGCAACGGTAGCAGCACCACTTGCTATTCCAGGCAGTTGTCACATCATGGTGTCTTCTCGCTTGCATGACGATCTGTCAAAACTTGACTTGAAACAGGTGATTCCAGCAATCATTCATATAATTCGTTAAAATCACTTTTCATCGCGATTATCTTGCCCGACGCCAGCCTTTCGTGCGTCGTTTTTCGCGTTTTTGTGTTCAGTGCACCACCTGGGAGCGCCTTCGCGAACCAGATTGTAGACGGCGAACGAGCGGGTATAGGCCATAGGAAATGCACATCTGCCATTTTTGTTATCTTTCTAATAATTCGCTACTCCCGAGTTGAGATCTGAAAAAAAATAGGCAAAAGACTTTGGAATAAACGAGGGTCGTGTGCCCAATTTCAGGTATGTACGTTTGAAATTAGAGTTTTGCTAGGCGTGCCAAATGTGAAAGTTTTTACGGCCGCACCCTGTAGTTGCGCAAGCCGAGGAAGTTCGGCTCTTTTGGCTGCTCGATAGTGGTCCACATCGTTTCGTCGAAACACGTTTCGCGGACAACCTTTTGTGGACACACGTTTCATAGACTCAGATTTCGTCTACACTGGAGTTTCGTGGATACATGCTTCAACATTTTGTTGACATAACATACCGTAGCGCACTTCGTTCTGCGAGTGTCCTTGGATGTCCTAACGTTCTGGGGACGTCTTATGAACGTCCACAGGACATCCTCAGAACGTTCGGGACATCCTAAGGACATTCACAGAACTAAGTGTGCTACTAGGGTATACGTTTTGTTTTTTGCTGAGTATATAATTCAACCTAGGAGCCGCTAAAGGCTAGCACGTGAATCACCATGGCGTGTTTACCCACGCCTTGGGCTCCCCTTTCTTTCGCTCCCCCCATAAACCAGGCAAGGTGCAGAAAGTTTTTTGCGAATTCAGCGTGGATTGTGTTAGACGAAACGTCACAAGGTGCTTTGATAAAGCGAACAAGAGAAACGTTTCAATGAAATGTCGCATGTCGGTGAAACGTCGTTCGAAGAACTGGTTGACATCGCTCAGTAGTGCTCTCCTCCCCTTTTCCTGGTTGTCGTGCAGGTCTAGCTTGCAGTCTGCTTCATGACGTTGATGTGCGTTGTGCTCCCGTTTCAGCGCCTGCCATGCTGAAGATGTCCATCGTGAGACATTGTGGCGTGATGGGGAGGCAACATTGGATTTTACACGTTGCCCAGTCAGCCACTCCGAAGAGCCTTGTGGCTTTGAGCCCTCAACTTAGATGGCCTGGATGACTTTGGCCTACACATTGTGCACATCTGCTCCCATCACTTTCTTCTCGAGGACTATGAGGCAAATCCCGAAGTCCGGCGAAGCCTCGGCATGGATACAAAGAGAATTCGACTGAATCCAAACGCCGTACCTATTCAAAATCTCTTGTTCAACGTACCGTCGAGGGTGCGAAGGCCTTTGGTAAGTTTGTGTGAAGGGCATGAAGCAGAATTGGCCGGAATGTTCCATACTCTAAACAGGCAGATTGGCACAAGCATGGCACAAGTATGGTTGTATGTAACATAACTGAGCTTCCTTGTTGCATAATTTTAAGGACAGTTTTGTATTGTTTCTTTCAGTCTTACCTTCACAAAGTTTGCTGACAGTGTCATAAGGATCACATTGTTGACATAGAGCTGGCCCCCCGCCCCCCCCCCCCCAAATTTACAGTGTAGTTTTCACTGCAAAACTAAGCTATGAATTGCCGAACGCCAATTTTCCGCCCAAATGTAGCACTAGCATTCCGAACCAGATGCTAAGGTTTAAGTACCAATGGACTTCTTCCAAAACCGACGCGCCCCATCGCGGCGAAATACCACGCAGTGCACTCTGGGAACTAGTTGGCCACTCAGTTTCGGTTTCGACTGAGCAGCTTCATCTCATGCTATTACGCCGCGACCGAACGCGCTGCTTGCGTTTTCGATTATCTGACTTTTCACGAACGTACAATACACTCATTCTCAAGCGATACAAAACGAAGACCGGGGCACTTTCCTTGGTTCCCGAAACACCGGATATTGTGCGTGCGTATGCGAACGTAGTAAGTCGTAGCTTAGTCACCTCACCCCACGAGTGTATCTTTGAGCTCAATGTCAGTAATCCCGTCTAGTACCAGTGAACTACAACTGAAATTTGTTCGTCCGGAGCCTTACAGGCATTTTGTTTGCCAAACGTCCGCTTCTTGTTACTTCATTGGGCGAATAGCAAGCCGCATCCTCACAGGGTATCAAAGTTGAGGCCAGCGTTTACGCATGAACTTTAATAAATTCGACCTCACTACTGCACAAAAGTTACTATGATGTCTTCCTCGTGTCATCATATATCTCCCACTCAAATTTTGTGCTGATAGAAAATTAACTTTTCGCAAACGCTGAGATCGGCTAGCTACGACGGAGGGCCCTAACAAGCGTCCCCTACTCCTCGCTAAGCTTTTTTGGACGAGTTTTTACTGACGCCCGAGATCTGTGCCGGGAACGTTGTGTCTGAAATTATCTCGGCATACTCAGGCAGGAAGAAAGCAAACACATAACAAATATTATGGCCATTAGCAACCGTCAAATGCGCTTTGAATTCGTTCGAGCACTTGTGTGAAGAATGTCGTACCGTGCGCCGGACGGGCACGAACCCCAATGCAGTGCGCACAGGGTTTCATGCCCGTCTGACGCACTTCCGGCGAACGGTGCGACATTCTTCACACAAGTGCTCGACTTTTGCATTCTTAAAACGGTCTGTATGCGCGAATTTGCCTATATGATTGCAGGATAACTTTATGCGCATACGCGATGTTGAATATTAGTGGAATGCAAGCAGGTGGGGACTTCACTTCGTGCAGTGCTGCGGGTCAGTACAGATAAGAGATAAGAAGTGTGTTAAAATTGAGCTTTTCAATGGCACCTCCGAGTTTTACCTCGCATACTCAGGCAGTAATTGCAAAAAGTAATATTTCGTCTATGGACGCGCGAAGCAAACAAACTTCCTGATCAACAACACTAATGTAAAGGCGCGAGCTCGATGTATGCATACTTATTGGTTGCTGCAGCTTGTTGATTCGTACAAAAGCAAGATCCCCGAGCACCCGAGCTTCGCAGCGTCGAGACTCTCAGCACTGGCTCGTCCACATACCTCTATTGGAACGCTAACAGGAAGGCTCAAGTACAAAAATACAACAAGCATGTGTTAAGACAAGCTACACGTCTCGGGATTGTGCTAAATCTTCGAGGTATGACCATTTACGTTAGTTTAGAGACCACAAATGACGCTCTCGGGACCAGAAAACAATCTCTTGTCGACGTGTCGATCGAAACCGAAACCATGCCACCCTCCTCCCTGGCCAACTAGTTCCCAGAGTGCAACGCGCGCCGTGTTGCATGCAGGGCTTTATGGAAGTAGTCTATTGTTATCTCGGTCAAAGGTTATAGGTGATTTTCTGAAAATTTCAATGGCTTTCTGTAACTGCCGTCATTCAGCTGCATGTATTATAAGAGATCAATCGACCACCATTTTCCGATTGAAAATTCCAGAAAATCGGTTATAACTTTTTAATAAGATAACGGTTCATATATCAGATAGTGTTCGGTGATGTATAGTTTGTTTTTGCGGTAAAAAAAGCTTTGTAGATTACTTTTTGGAACACCCTTTTGTTGTGGAGATCACCCCAGGGTGACAATTATTGAATGGTTCATAATGCATTGGACATAAGCACCCTTATATGAATTCAGTTCCAGTCAGTGCCTAGGTGGACATAGAGGTTGGGGCTAATTTCCAGTCACTGCGATGACGGGAATAGCCAGGCTAACAGTGTTCGAATGGGAGCACATTGGTGCAGAGTATTGGCACCAGATCACGTGGTTGCTCTTGCTGCGAGTTAAAGGTGGGAATGTTGCTAATTTTGCTCCAAACTGCTTTTGACTGCTAGGGCATAAAGGAAAAGACAAATGAGCATTTCTTTAGCTTACACACATCAAATATTCATCCTGAATAGCACTTAATGAAAGTTCTGAACTCATTTTATTGCCACTAAGGGGCACAAAAACGAAAATCAAAATATAAGGAAACTTTTCCGAAATGGGTGATTTATGACCCATGATATCCGTAAATGACAATTGCACGTTCGTATTTTGAGCGAAGGGCTATATTTTTCGTTTCATGCGTCCGATTCTAGCGAGCGCTTCGAAATCGGCCATTGAGGCGTGTGATGCCTCATGGGAACTCCGTCACAATCGTGACGTCAGGCTCTTCAATACAGCCAAAGGCTGGTGTGATAAGCGCCACCACGCGGTGGCATTTGCGTGTTGCTATCTCACATTTCGGAGTGGCAGAGGGCTGCACAGCAGCACGACCACCGTTCTGTCATATTCTTTTCGGCCCTCGTAGTCCACGGTGCATTCCGCCCCTATCTATGAACTCGAGAGGACGAGGATCTCGACTACCATGAGTACTTGTAACATGTCAGCGAGGATGAGTAGTCACTCTCGCACATGGTGACGGACAGGCGCTTCGGGCTAGAACCATACGAAACATCCGACAGGCCCGACCAACAAAATCTGAAGGGGGTCAGGGGCGACAAGGAATGCCTTTTATTTAATAATGATTGGCCAACTTGGCGATATGCACTGTTAGATGTTTTATTAACAGCGTGCTCACTAACAAGTTTGCTTCGTTTTTCGTGCTGTTCGCTGCGCTCTTCTGCTTTTCTTGGAAAAAATGGTCGTCACAACCCCTTTTAGCCACCGAATATTCTTGGTAGGAAGACCCAGACTCCTGTGGAAAGTGGGTTGCCTTTCATAGTCCTCGTTGCGATAATGGTTACTGTACAGGCGATAGGTTTTCACCGGTGCTAAAGAGATGACGGGTGCACGAGACGGATCTACACGCTTTGTAATTTCTCAGTTCGGAAACCCGTGGGTCGGCCTGTCTCAGTTCAGCACGCTGTTACCGCAGCCCTCTGCCGCGCAATAGTGCGGCATCCTGCACGTAAACGTGACGAAGAAACGCAGAAACAATTCAATGATACCAAAATAATTGCGCGCCGCACGAGGCAGTGCAATTGCGTCATTGCACTCACGGCTAGGGTATCTGTATGAGTACAGTGTACTGCTGAGAGTGGCGCCACTGCAAGAGGTGCAACACGTCACGTTCCCTCAATAAAGCTTTGACCCCCAATAGGTGACCGGCCTTTGAGCCGGAAGTTTCGTCATCCGAAGCGAGGCACCACGTGACTTCACGCTTCCGGTTCGTCCGGTGCCGGTCGCGGTTCGTCCAGCTGCATCAAGAGCCCTTCTAGGCGTGGTGGCAGTGCTGTATTCGCGGTGAAAATGGCTTACAGCTCCGCGGTACGTTGTTCTAACGCAAGCCAGAGAGGGCATAAGATGTTCCAGTTTCCGTGTAACAAAGCATGGAAGCAACGATGGGCCGTCGCTGTTAAGCGAGTGAAAGAGCGAGATGGCCTGTGACAGACAAACGTTGGTGACCGTTTATGCGCGGCCAATATTGTTACAGGCCAGTACAACGTGTTTTCTCTTCGGGTAGGGCCAGCGGGAAATAACGATCTCGAACAGTTTTTTTGGCACCCACCAAAAGCGTCTCGATTATTCCACGAAGGGGTGAGCACTGCTTGTCGTACAAGGCATCTGCGAGAACGCGGGATGCGATCTCGCAGGCAATCAGTTCATGGCATGACGTTTCGTCAACATACAGTGCCATTGCCAGGCCGTTTAGTCGTTACATCGACAGCTCGGATTAACATTTTCTGTGATGAGCCGCCGCAGACTGTTCCCGGGAAGCGGCGTGGATGGGTGGCTTGCTATAATATAAATAAACAAAAGGGCAGGTCAGCTTTTTGTAATATAAAGAAACAAAAGCAAATGGGCAGCACCTTCATATTGACGGATAATAAAGCAGTAGCACGACCCTGCGTAGCTCATATCAAAATCGGTGCTCGTTTTTGTATGTTTCCTTACTCGACATCATAAAAAAAAAACGTGCGGGAAGGGGGAAGGGGGGGGGGGGCAGAGGGTTATTGTAGTTCACGGGGGACAACTTAGTTGAAGTACCAAAAACGCGTGAGTGTTTAAAAGCAAGGATTGTCACGTAGTCAGATGTCGTCAAAACTAACTTCCCCACGGAAGTGGCGTTTTAATCGCGCGAGAAAACATACTAGCTGAGTTTGAAACACCGTCTAACCGACTTTCCCTGTCTTAAACTTTTGATTGCCTGAAGATTTTCTTACCCAGGCTTAGGTGTTCTAACAAAATGAGAAAAGTATGCCATACCTCCGACCGGGCATTTCAGCTGGCCGTGTCTTACGGCTTACATTCGCGCCTATTTCGGTCGGTGATGTGATCTAACGTAACCATCAAAAATAAACAGAGCCCAAATGAAAAACGCAGGCTCAAAAGGAAAACGAAACGTCCAACCTGAGTTTTCATGCGAAGATCCGGAAAGCGCGGTGTGAGTGCAGCTTGCCGCCGGCCGCACTCGCTCTGCGCTTTCGTGGCCGTTCTCGATGCTTCTGCGTACCGATTAGTACTTAACATATCCGTAGAAGTAACTTGAGACGTTCAGAGTGTGTAAGTCACCCAGGAGGAGAGGAAGGTGGCCCGGATTGATCGGGTTTCAACACCCGCACACGCTTCCGTAGCCGTCATGGGGCTGCGTCGGCTGATAGCTACGAACCGGAAGTGAATATTACCCAGAGTGCTTTGAGGCTGCTGCCAAACGCCGGTCACCTATTACCAGGTGCAAGTGAGAAATTCGTTTATTTGTTTTAAAATTACTTTCCTTGCATTTACAAACGAGAGACTGATGTTGCTCAGATGCTGATGCGACGTAGTATGTACCTGAGCAATGAAGGGAGCCGTAAAAATTATTTTTCATACCCCTTTAACCATTTGTTTGCTCATCGTGTCATTCTAGGATGTACTCGACTCACCTGGCGTCATAGAGAGGGTCGTCAAACGTTTGAAAACTCCGCATTGAACGGCGGATCACTCCACGCAAACAACTAGAAACGTCATCGCAGCTTCCTGCCAGACTAACGAGAGCAACACAAAAACACGGTGTAAGTCTTTGCTCTCATTCTGGGTGCATTTATTTTCCTAGCATATACCGCATAGAATTCTCTAGAAATTGTTGGACCTGTCCAAGATGGCTGTGGTGTGCCCAGTGCAGAGGAATGATTATTTACATAAAGATATCGATTTACATAACCACGCATCCGATGCGGTGAGAAAGTCGACCCAAATGCACCTCTCCGCGCATGAGAGAGGAGGTGTGAAGTTATGAGTGAGACTGATCACGTGCGCAACAAAGCATCTACCCGGCAGACAGCATTTCCTTCAGTGGGTAGCAAATCATTTCTTGGCCCTTGAGTACTTTGTTTCTTGTGCAACGTCTGGTAGTTGGACAACAGAAACAATGTACCCTTCAAAGCATCTATATCTTCTCCCCTTCCTCAAAGGACGAACCTCCGTGCATAAAAATAGCAAAAAGGGTGGCTTTCCACCAGCTGTAGAAACGACAAGGCAGTTATTGCTACGGCTAGCAGCCGCAGCCGTGTTTCAGTACTCTAGTATATCCTCTAATCAGAACTGGATACCGTGATGCCACTGTACCCTTTGCATAAGGAGTGGACGAACCTTGCCGCATATGCTTCTAGATATGTAAACTGGGTGTTTCACCTATGACTGAAAAAATATTAGAAAAAAGGGGCGGGGCATTTGTAATAAGGAAAAAATTCATTCAGTCTCGCATTGTCGACCACAGCGGACTTCGAGGAATGAATTTAGATTGAGAGCTGGCAAACTAACTGTCTAATATTAACAAATTCGCTTTTAGGGTTCTGTATTTTCCGGTGTATGCGACGCATCATTGTATAAGACGCACCCCCCCCCCCCCCCCCTTTTCGCAAGTGTCTAAGTAAAAATTAGTATATAAGACGCACCTTTGTATAAGATGCACCTTATTTACGCATTTGCCACGAAGGTACTTCATACTGTGTGGTTGCGGGAAAAAAAATTGCACAACCACTGACTTGAGACTCGCAAAGCAACGTGACTTGAGAACTCGCAAAGGGACGTGTTTTCTTTTTTTCTTTACGTTTTCCTGACTTCTTTTTGTTTTTTGTTTTGGAACTCTAGTTTTGGGAGGTTGATTTGCATTTATGATGCATAATTTGCATTGAGCTGTCATAATAGTTAAAAAAAGACTAATCAGCATCAAGAAGAGTTCCTTCGGAGGTTGCCAAAAAATATACAGATAAGACGCATTGTCGTATATGTCTTAAATGACACATTCCACTGAAGGATATATTGCCTGTTGTCAAGATAGTCCATAACAGTTAGGTTTTAGAGCAAACAGTTTGGCTAAATGATATTCAATGACGAAGATAGGCTGTCTCTAGTTTGCTGTACTGAAAGCAAGTGTGGAAAAACAAAAGCTGCAAGAACTGTGCGCTTGGAGCGATGTCGGAACATGACGTGCCTTTGCCACAGCCACACTTTAGGTACCGTTCCACTGCCAGACCAGCTGGCAATGACTCGCCACCCACATACCAGATACTGAAGTCTGTTCTTTTGCATCCTAGTTCCAATGTTGCAGTCTCTTCACTGCTTAAAATTTCCACTGAATAGTTTGAAGCACTGTTTAACTTTTTAAGATGACAGCAGGCCACAGATGTTTGATTAAAATATGCCAGCTAGAGGAAATATTTAACAATGTTTATTAGAAGAAAACTTCTACGCTCGCACGGAGGAAACCGTGTACGTGCAGGCAGATCCGTGGGAGCCTGCTGACAGATGTACACGGTGTAGAGCTGCCATTACCACGAGATCCGCCCCTTGTCACCACACCATTTCCACTTCCCCCTCCTTGCCCTTCGATATTTTCCTCCATTCGACCCCTGGCTGAACAAGCACCCGACTCGTCCACACAAGCGTCTGCGCCCTAAGTGTGGCCTCGTGACACCTCTGGCCCCGAGGGAGAAAATTACGTGGTTGAACGGGGCTCAGAATTCTCCCGGCCACCTCGCCGGACATTCTTGATAATACACTCGCTTACTTTGTGTACACACTGCGAAAAAACAGCGGACAAATGCAACATAGTAAATTTATCGGACGCAGTGTTAACGCGGGAAGAGACCAACATCCTTTCCAAAGGATTAACCTTCTGCCCCACAACTGGCCACTACAACGAGTTTCAATTGTACCAAGATTTGGACACGTTTGCACGAAACATGAGGCTCCACGAGTACTTTCATGACCGCCAACTGAATGTTTGTGCAGTTCCAAGCCACACATTGCTAACATGTTGCTCAGTAAAATTAACAGTTTAGTAAAGAAAAGCACGCACACTTAGAAACGTTTTTCGGGAGTTTCTTTTTCTGGACGCTTTGCGTTTAGAAAGAGTGGGTTCCTGCTCGTGTTCAGTGGTCACGCCACTTTTGGGGCATGGACTGTTGTTTACAAGCATCGTTCCGTGCCTGCGGTGTTCGCCGAAAAATGACAACTGTTTCCCTACAGAAATTTTTTCTCAGGTTCAGTTTTTACTGAGAACCAGTAAAGTAACAAAAATCAAATAAAAAAAAATGAAAAGACCAGCTTGTCAAAGTTTGCTGCTTTCACAAGTCAATGGGCACCGCACGAACGCTTCCAAATCAAATCAAGGTTTAACCCACCTCAAACCAGGGGGTGGGCTGATCTAGAAGTTGTTCTTGCTGATTCGTCGATCTTTGATAAGATCAGGATAAGTGATCTGTCAGATAGATGCGCGAGCCTTGTTTGCATCTCGAGGTGGGGGGGGGTTGCTGGGCGCTGTTAGAGGTTGCACCTGCCTACGTGACTGGGACGCTTAGTACCCCGGGGCCCAGGGCCCCCCGGCCCTCCCCGGTTGCTACGCCGCTGCCTTAGGGTTGGCCTTTTGTGATTAACCCAAAGTTGACAACTACATCTTTAGTAGGATTAATTAACTCTGCCTTCACCAATAGAAATACCGTAAAATACCGGGCAAGCACCCACTCAAACTTTGGAGATAATCGCCAAAAAATGGGGGATGGGCGCTTGTCCGGTCATCAATTTTACATATAAATGTACTCTGCGTATTTTCTCAGATCTTACAAATTTGGGAATGGGCGCTTAATGTGGAATGGGCGTATGCGCGGTATTCTTTGGCAAGCGTAATGTCAGAAAGTCAAATTTAACGGTGTTGGTTTCAGGACGTGATGACTTTAAGCTGTCGACCTGAGACGACAAACTGCTGCAAAACGTGGAAAAGGGGCAGCTTTTGCAGCGAATCTTTCCACTGTGATGAGCCTCTCTTTCTCGAGGCCTTCCAAGGACAGACTGGTCTGCAATGGCACGGTGAGCAACACTTTCTAGACCAACTGGGCGTCGCCCACCATGATGCCATCGCCCATTTAATGCTAACAGGAAAATTTATTGCCTTCGTAATCATTTAATTATTTGCAACAGGTTTATCTGTTGCCTTCAAAATAATTTATTAGTTTACATCAGATTTATCTGCAAATGTCTCAGTTGGCTGATTGCAAGTTGAAGCTTGGGCTTGAATATATACTGCGTTGGCTGCGCTTTGCCTTAATCTGAAACGAAGGATACTGTGGACACAAACGGAAAGGTTTTGCTCGTCAATCGTGCTAGCAAATGACAATCACATGTCATTGTGTGAATTGCTAGACAACATCGGTAATGTCGGGAGCCAAAAGTCGTGAGAAAAGTTGGCAAAATGGCGAGATGGCGACTAATGTGACAAGACAGAACCAGGGTCTTCCACTCCTGATCTGGTCACTTGATTATCACGTCTGTCGTATGCTTTTGTGCTGTGACTATAGACGTTTTTCGTTTCCTTCGGTTCTCAGTCACGTAGATTCCATATCTGTAATGTGGGACGAAAAAATAAGAAAACATTTCAACCTGGAGTATAGGCGAGGCAAAACAAGAATTTGGGACAATCATGCATTTAAAATATAGGTGAGGCAAAAGAAGAATTTTGGGCAATCACGCATTTTTTGTGAACACTTTCCAGCAGCGGGGGGAATTCATAACAATGTTTTAATGGATACCAGGAGTGATGACATTCAAGATGGCTGCACCTTTGTGAAAAAAGTGTATAGTGTGCCGTGGCACTTGCGCCGCTCTGATCAACCTTCACCGCCTCACATCAGCATGCGTGCGTCGAGTGTCATTTACATCAGAATGCTAGGAGCAGCGGCTGACATGGGGGAGCTCCTGGGTTAGTGCAATTGCTCGGAAATTATACTCAGTACTGTTACAAATCTGCTTTCTTTGGTCTTAATTAAAAAATAACCTCTAACTAAAAAGAAAAAAAAAAAAAAAATGCGGGTAGCCAGGTTGTGGCGGTACAGCAGTCGATTGGCAGCAAACTTTGATTCAGCTCTGGTTCCAACGCCGCTAAATCACGGTGTCAATTTGAAGACATAAGTGTTGGTTTTCATAATATCGGTGTGTGGTTGTTTTTTCCAGTTTATGATATTAGAATTTTGAGTTTTGTGGGTTAGTAAAAGTTGGTTGAACCATATTTTTATTAATGGACGTTTTATCCGATATGCTGGTTTTTGCCATCATATTACAGAAATTATATGAACAGGTTAAATACGCTATGAGTGCAAAAGGGTGAGGGTGTGAGAGCCTTTACCTCAACTGAAGTGTTGTCCTACAGTTCTTTTTTCAATTATATTTTAATACCCATTGTATATGGGACTACTCTGACCTAGACCCTATTTCTTAAAAGGAGACTCTGTGTTTGTTCTGCATCCTATTTATTTTTGTTACATAATGTAATACGTAATATGCTTCAATATCAAAGAGGCATCCTCACTCATTATAAAGAATGACTTTCATTTAGCAGTGCAATCACCATTGAATGTTTATGTGACGTGTCAAAAGATGTTGGCATCTGCTTCAAAAGCGTCAGTGGCTGCTTCAAACTAATATTTTGCCTGCTACAAAACCTGCTACCAAAGGTCATTTGCCACTTCCATCACTGATACAGCTACTTGGCACATTTGCATTATT